CAACTGACCAGTTTTCAAAGTAATTCTTTCGCTGAATTAATGTTATCATAAAAACTATCTACGTACATAATTTAAATGACATCACTTGTTTTTGAAGTATCTCTTATCAACAACTCAGAAGTTACATTACGTCTGTTGAACTGTAAAGGACTATTCAGATTGTTATTCTTTGAGGTATCAACAGTATATCCTATCACACCCTAAGCTACGACACGTCAGCTTTATCCTATTTTGGCCTATGGACTACTCCAAGGTTCCGATCTTGAAAGGAAGATTCAATTACTAAAGACTCTAGATGAATTAAATTACATTCCAGTTTAATCAATCAGTTATATACTAATTGTTGCTGCCTGACCGTTGTTGCTACCTTGACGTGGTGGTCGGGCTTGCCTATCGTGATGAAGCAACTGAGCTATACTGGCTGGAACAACCGTTCCTCAAGGTCCTACCATGCCAGACAGGTCGGTTGAAGAGCGGTAAGACTAAAAGCAACAAAACCTAGGTCCGAAGGCGAAGTCGTACTGCTGACTGTACAGAGGTGTGACAGCAGTAAGGTGTTTCCTTCAGACAACCAGCATGACAGCGATGCTGCCTTCCCACAAGGAGGGGTGGGGTTAGGAAAGGTCGACCCTAAAAATGCACACCTCGCCTTATCCCACGGATATCCGTCCCCGGCGGTAAGGACTCAACAAGTACGGAGCTAACATAAAAATTACTCATAAAAAGGTCGTGTGTGACCGAACTCAAGCAGTTATCCCTTGGGCACTGCGGTCACGCTCTCAGGTCACTATGACCACCTCTAATCCAATTTCCTTTTCAGGTACCTCCAGCAGAACCCTTCCACGGTGTGGGCAACCGGGAAGTGATAATTGCCCTCATACCTCTAACAGCACTCAAGACCACTGTATTCATAATCAACCTCCCTGTTCAATTCTTATTATTCCTCTTACATCGACTTTCAAATCTAAACTTCCTCTTTCGGCTTCCTCCTCAAGTGTCACCACAGCCAACGATTCTAGTGCGCAAAACACTGTCCCAAGTCTACTGAAACCTTGCTCCAAACTACACAATGGGGCCTTCAACGTACGCACACTATGCCAAATCGGTCAGCGGGCTTCCTTGGCTAAAACCTTAGAATCTCGTACGATTGATGTATGCTGTGTTTCCGAAACACGCATACAGGATCCTAGTGTGGTCATTCACTTGACCTCACCTCGGCAAAACGGAGAGCCGACGAGACACACCTTCCGTGTATCTGGCGACCCGACAGCTAGTTCTCGTGGACTTGCAGGTGCAGGCACAGCACTAAGCATGAGGGCGGAACAAGCGCTATTAGAGTGGATCCCCGTTAATAGTCGTCTATGCGCTGTTCGGCTAAACGGCTCGGTAAGAACTCGAAGGAATAGGGACACACATCGTTGCCTTTTCGTCGTTTCTGCCTACGCTCCCACTGACTGCAGTTCGGATGAATGAAAGATGAATTTTACAGAAAGCTGTCTGAACTTCTTCAGAAAACTAAACGTTCAGACATAGTACTCGTAGCAGGCGACTTTAATGCCCAGGTAGGTAGCTTAAACGAAACAGAAAGACATTTAGGAGGGTATTTTAGTATTCCGGCACAGCGAACAGATAATGGTGGTCGTCTGCTGCAACTGTGCTCAGACAATCGTTTATTTTTAGCAAACACAAATTTTAAGCATAAGGAGAGACATCGTCTAACATGGCGACCCCCTGCACCAAACCAACGATGGACTCAAATAGACCATATTGCCATCAGTCATCGTTGGAGAGGGTCGATAGAAGATTGTCGCTCATTCTGGAGTACCTGCTTGGACTCCGACCATGCCCTAATACGAGCACGCATCTGCTTGCGCCTCACTGGACGCAAAAAAGCCACACAAAAAAGACTCATGAGAACCGAATTGAGTAATGAGAAAACCAAAAGTAGGTTCCAGGAACAACTGAGGTCACACTTAGGTAGTTCTGAAAACGAGGCTGACCCAGATGTTGCTTAGAAAGTTATACAAGCAGTTGTGGAAACAGCAGTGACATCTACTAGTGATTTAAACCACAGGGTTACAAAGAACCAATGGATTTCTTCAAGGTCTATTGCACTGATGGATTCTCGCAAACTCATCCCATCAGGTTCTGAACACGATGAAGAGCGTAAACAAATCAGATCTAGGTTAAGCAAAAGTCTAAGGAACGACCGTGAGTAGTGGTGGGCAACGAAAGCAAAAGAGATGGAAAAGGCAGTGGCTATAGGTAACATCAGACATCTCTTCAGACTCTTAAAAGAAACTGGAACTAAAAGGTCAGGTCTAAGTGAGACTATCTCGGAAAAAGACGACACTCTCATCTGCTCCCAGTCCAGACGTTTGGAACGATGGGCGGAACACTTTAAGGAACAGTTCAGCTGGCCTTCAGCTACTCTACAACTACCCTCTATTCCCAGACAGTGTGAATGGAACATTGAAGTAGGTCCTCCAACTCTAGCTGAAGTTCAAATGGCTATAGCTAATCTGAAACGAGGAAGGGCAGCAGGTCGAGATGGATTGGTTCCAGAGGTCTTTAAGGATGGTGGTCTAGTTTTAGCGATTAGGTTGACTAATATTTTAGCTAAAATCTGGGAGTTGGACGTAATCCCCTCTGACTGGTCACAATCTCTTATCGTCCCAATATTTAAGAAAGGGTCAAAATCATCCTGTGACAACCACAGAGGGATTAGTTTAACTAATATAATATCTAAAATACTAGCTTCGATAATTTTCGGACGCCTAACTAAGACTCGTGAGCTGCAAACACGTGAAAATCAGGCTGGCTTCAGACCTAGTCGTGGCTGCATCGACCACATATTCACCATTCGTCAGGTTCTAGAACACAGGCATACTTATCGGCGTCCGACAATGGTGGTCTTTCTTGACTTAAAAGCAGCGTTTGACTCTGTTGACCGAGAGGTTCTGTGGCAGTGTCTGTCATTGAAAGGCGTACCTCAGAAATACATAAACCTTGTTCAAGCTCTTTACTCGAACACTACTAGTCGAGTAATAGCTTTGGCGAACTGTCATCCGCTTTTGCAACCTCAAGTGGTGTCCGTCAAGGCTGTCCAATTTCTGCATTTTTGTTTAACTTCATCATAGATCTACTGATGGAAATAACGCTCTCATCGACTGAATTCTCAGGTATTGATCTCCTACCAGGAGGTCCACTTATCGACTTAGAGTACGCAGATGACATAGTCCTGTTTGGTGAAGACGCTGATAAAATGCAGAGTCTTTTGGTAGCACTGAACAACAATGCTAGAATGTTTGGGATGCGCTTTTCTCCCTCTAAATGCAAGTTATTGCTTCAGGACTGGTCTGCGTCAACACCTGAACTAAGGATAGGGAGTGAAGTAGTCGAACGCGTCGACAACTTCACTTATCTTGGAAGTCTGATCAGCCCTAATGGGTTGGTGTCTGACGAAATGTCTGTACGGATTCGAAAAGCTCGTTTGGCCTTTGCCAACTTACGTCACCTATGGCGAAGTCGAGATATCCGTCTATCAATTAAGGGACGAGTATACTGCGCGGCAGTTCGTTCCGTTCTACTACACGCCTTCGAAACATGGCCTTTAAGAGTAGAAGATACTCGTAAGTTACTAGTATTTGACCACAGATGCCTTACAAATATTGCTCGCATCTGCTGGGATCACCGGGTAAGTAATAGTGAGGTTAGACGCAGGGTATTAGGAAATGATGGTAAATCAGTTGATGAGGTTATGAACCTTCATCGACTGAGATGGTTGGGCCACGTGCTGCGTATGCCTGAACACCGATTACCACGACGCGCAATGCTAACCGGTGTTAGGGATGACTGGAAGAAAGTTAGGGGCGGCCGAACCAAAACGTGGCATCAGTGCTTGAAGTCACTAACTTCTGGTCTGAGCCATGTTGGGAGATTCAGACTGCCTGGTTGGGGTCCGCGTGACTATCGTAACCAATGGTTGGAGACTCTTGGTGACATGGCTCAGAATCGATCACAATAGCGTCGGTGTATACACTATCTGTCTTCCTTTAAACTAACAGATTAAAATCACTTCAAATCTTTCTTTCTACGAACTAATTCTATCTTCCTGTACTATCTCCTTATACACACTCTTTCTTCTATATATTACCACCACTGAATTAACTACTTCTATGAATCCGGTGTTCATCTTGTTGTGCTAATGCGGTATGGCAACTTGGACCGATGCATATATGTGCCTGGTCCTACGTTGCAGCTGACTGACTGACATTTAGTGATTATTAATTACAGAAATTATCAAACCGAACAACTGTCGTTTAAGCAAATGATTACAGACAGAATACAATTGACTACTGTATTGAACAAAAGTTTAGTAAATCAAAAATCACAATGGATTAATGAATACAAATTCATGTTATACCTAGAAAAAGTTACAGTCGATTGATTCAAAAGTCAAATGAACAGAAACCACAATAAATTAAATACATAAATAAACTCACTAATGAATAGTTCTGATAGGTAATTCTCGCAGTTTTAGTGAGGAGGTTTTCAATTGTGGTTTGACACTGTTCGGTTCATGATCTTAATTAAAAAAACTCAACAGCTCCCACAACTCTATACTGACATTTTAAATAGTAATTTGGTTATTTGAAGTTTTAGTTGTGAAACAGTTGAGTTTTTTACTATTAGATAATCTATTTTTTGGCCTGGAATAAACCGCTACAAAGTGAGGATACACTTTAAATAAAGCTTTCTATAGAAGATTGTTTACTAAACATTTGAATATTAATTTCATGATGGATAGACAAATATTCTATGTGAACTAATTCCAAAAATTATTTCTGTATGTCATATTGGTGAAGATAATTATTACTGAACAAGAAGTAATGAGAACTTTTATTTTTTGCAAGTGTGCAATAGTGTTTCATTAATTTTTTTTAACTTAGTATACTCTTTATATTTCATATAAACCCTCATAACTTATATTCTTTTAGTTCATGCAATTATGATAGCGGCAACAACAACTATTCTGACCATCATCCTAATTACCATTGTACAAATAATAATGATAATGTCGATTCTCGAAAGACATTAATAACAAATGTGACTGCTAGTCCAATCCTTCTTCATCATCATTCTATAAATACTAAATCTGAATCAGTTCAATGTAAAGATGGTAATAGTCATTCTGTTTCACCACTATCTTCAATTAACAATTATAGTAATAATGGTGAAACTAATGCAGTCAGCAATGCAATTAGTATTCAATCAAAAAATAACAGTACTTCACTGTCAAATGGTAAGCTTTATAATTAAACATATTCATCGTTGTGTGAACTATTCGTAATCGAAATTTTAGAAAGAAATTTCGCTTTGTACCGTTACATGAGCGTTTAATTTGTGAATATTCTAAAGATATGTTCAAAAGCGTTTCTATTCATTTGTAATTTTCATAGCTTAACTCACGAACTGAACTTCGCTAGATCACCAGTGAAAGCCAGAAAGCACTGTTATTGTTCATGATTAGTGTTGCTTGCAAGGCATCTTTTTTCGTCACCGAATGTATATGCTATATCAATCCAATAAGTATCTCCTCTTGTCTCTCGAAATCAAAAACAAGGAGGAGAATATATGAACTACTGTCGTGGTACTTTTTAAGTTTCTTAGTAATTAAATTCGGGATGAGTTGTTAATATTCTGTAGAAGCACCTAATTACATCTTGTCGATAGACATAATAAGTTAATTAAAATAAATTTCAAACAGATAAATGTATGGTCATAAAATCCGAGTTTGAAAAACTGGTGACCCAGAATTTAGATCAAACTTCCATGACAAAGCAATATCTTATTCATAGTTGATTTGATTACTGAATAATAGGAAATATCTGAATTAGATATTATTCTAGACTGTTTACAGGCATTGTAAAACTTTTTCTACAGTAAATTCTAATTCATTCCTTATGTATGCATTATCATGTAAAAAAAGTATCAAATTTAATAAAACGGCTTAAATTACACTTTAAATCTTTCAGTGTCTTTCGTTCTCACTCTAGTTATTATTATATTCTTTTTGAATATTTACTTTCAAAACTAACTAGCTACTCTGTTATATATGCGGAAAATGTGTACAACTTTTACATTAATAACATTAGAGTAATATTGTAGAAAGTTGAATTTCTGACGTTTCACAGCCTAGTGTAAGTTGCTTTTTTAGAGAACTACACTTTTTGATTTATTGTAATGATACAATTATATTACTAAGATTATCAGTATTATAAAGAACTCACCCAATACTTAATTGATTAAAAATCATCAAGCCGAATCTTACAAGCTCATTCTGACGTTTTAATTAGTCAAATACTAATCAATTTGTATAGATTTAAGTAATCTACTAGAGAATGAATTACGTAATTGTTTGTCTAGGTATCTTACTTATTTGGTAGCGTTTTTATTTATTTCACTTAGTCTGAAACTATTTAATCTTGTTGTACACATTATACTACAGTTTCTTTTTTTGGATTAAAATTACAAAACTAAAGTGAAATCTTACATTGAAAGGTATATTCTAAAATGACAGGCATTTATCGAACTTCAGTAGAGACACCAATGTTTGAAACTTGAATGAAATCTGATTACTGATTTATAATAAATAGTACAAGGAAGAATATGTGTTTATCAAAATATTACTTCCAAATTACTTAATTATTCATAAAGTGTTTGAGAGAGTTTGCTCTCCCTTTTGAGATGCTCTCACATGGCCACGTATACACAACCACTGTCAGGGAAGTCCTACTCACTGCTTTCTCTTGGCGGGGGTGTTGTTTACGAAATTGGGAGGACGAAAAGCGAATGTCCGGCACTTTAACTGGGTTAGTGGATATGGAGGATCCACCTAGGTTAGTTGGAAAACCCTGAATCCAAACCAATGGTGGACATGGGCTCCAGGATTCTGAAGGAACAAATGGCATATGAACCATGTATTGGTCACCGGCTACCATGGGACTACATCTCCTTACGTTGCTCCACTGCCTTGTGGATCAGACCTTTAGGTCGGAGGCTCCAGATGTTGACCTCTAAGAAAGCCACCTTCTTTGGTCTGGGCACCTGGGCAGTATCACAGCCCACACACAACTCAAGTGACTTGTGTGACACATACGTATTCGTGGCTTCTTTGTACTAATATTTGTGTGTTCGAATAAATAATAATAAATAAGATAGTCCAGTCTGCACTTTATTAATGATCATAATTGAATAAAATATTCCTAATTTTATTCTTTGTGATATGTTGACCTATCTTTTTATCATTAATTTCAATTTCATAACGTTGTTGTCTAATATGTTTTTGTAACATTGATCATTTTAAAAATAAAACAACCGATACAGTTTGCGCAATTACTCTATTTTAACAAAATACACATTTATTTGTATCTAAGTCCATTTTTATGAAATATTTGTGTACATCAAATCATTACAATATTAAGCTGTGTGAATATTAATATAATAAACGTAAAGGAAGAAATGTCCACTATTATTTGTTTTTAAATTTATGCAGTTTGTTTTGCCAGTTCTCCACGTGGTAATACTGTTATTACACATCATCCAGCCAGCCCTTTTGCACGTGTTCCTCGTGGTGTAGTTGGGAAAAATGAAGTTAATGTTAAAATCCCTATCCAGTCAAAATCATCGGTATCCATGTCTAATGTATGCATAACTGCCACCGTTACCACTCATACAACTACATGCATTGATAATTTTTCTACTAATCAAAATATTCCTGTAACTAGTATTTCTACAACAGATGGTTCATCTTGTGTTTCAACTGAACTTCAGTCAGATTCTTCTGATTATTCTCTACAAAAGCAGTCTAGTCATGTCAACGGTAATCAACAGCCAAGTATGTTTTACTTATTTTAATAATTAAAAAAAACTATACTGAGTTGTATAGTTTTATATTTGTTTAATCTATATACACACAATGCTCGGATAGCGATCATAGGAAATCGGTCAGACAAGCGGTTAAGGAAGTGATGGGTACTTTTCATTATATTCTAAGCCTTATATGATATGTTAAAGTTCATTTCTTTGATTGACTCTTTTAAATTTTGATATTTTATGACTAGAAGTCATGCCTTTTAAGCAGCGATGTACGGTAGCTAGGAGTGGGATCCAGGCCGCGCTTTTCGCCTTTCTTCGGACTTATCAGCTGGATGTACCTGCGTCCGATTTGATGTTCATTCCGGGACTGCTCGCTTCAAATGCCATCGCATTGTCCACTTAGCTTATTGAGCCCAGTAGTCATTGGTGTATGAAATGGGGTGAATTGTAATTCATATATATTGGTTCTTTGGGTCTTCCTACTGATGTTTAGGACTGCAATTGATCAGTTTGTTTTGGCATATGTGTACTCTGTACGGATTGCAATAATATTTCCATCAAGTCACAAACATTTTACGCAGGTATGGAAGGTGACTAGCAGTAGAATCATCCTGATGAATGGCAGTCCTAAACATCAGTGGGAGGATCCAAATAACCAATTTATAAAGATGAAATGTTATGCCGTTTTTAATCTTATCTTTTTTGATATACATTATCCATAACGTTTACTGTTGATGTAATGGATCAGAGTAGTATATAGCTACTGTATGAATGTTGTTCCACGTTTATAGTTGGGATAGTTCTGTACGCATTACACTTCTGTTTACAGAGGTGAGGATTAATTCTAATGTAAATAATATTCATGATTTCAGTTGAAGAGATCGATTAATTATAAAATCATGTGTATGTAGGAAGACGGTGAGAAGGGGTTATTATCAAAATTCACACATAAGTGATAAATCCCTTCCACGGTATGGGCAACCGGGAAGTGATAACCGCCCTCATACCTCTAACAGCACTCAAGACCACTGTATTCATAATCAACCTCCCTGTTCAATTCTTATTATTCCTCTTACATCGACTTTCAAATCTAAACTTCCTCTTTTGGTTTCCTCCTCAAGTGTCACCACAGCCAACGATTCTAGTGCGCAAAACACTGTCCCAAGTCTACTGAAACCTTGCTCCAAACTACACAATGGAGCCTTCAACGTACGCACACTATGCCAAATCGGTCAGCGGGCTTCCTTGGCTAAAACCTTAGAATCTCGTACGATTGATGTATGCTGTGTTTCCGAAACACGCATACAGGATCCTAGTGTGGTCATTCACTTGACCTCACCTCGGCAAAACGGAGAGCCGACGAGACACACCTTCCGTGTATCTGGCGACCTGACAGCTAGTTCTCGTGGACTTGCAGGTGCAGGCACAGCACTAAGCATGAGGGCGGAACAAGCGCTATTAGAGTGGATCCCCGTTAATAGTCGTCTATGCGCTGTTCGGCTAAACGGCTCGGTAAGAACTCGAAGGAATAGGGACACACATCGTTGCCTTTTCGTCGTTTCTGCCTACGCTCCCACTGACTGCAGTTCGGATGAATGAAAGATGAATTTTACAGAAAGCTGTCTGAACTTCTTCAGAAAACTAAACGTTCAGACATAGTACTCGTAGCAGGCGACTTTAATGCCCAGGTAGGTAGCTTAAACGAAACAGAAAGACATTTAGGAGGGTATTTTAGTATTCCGGCACAGCGAACAGATAATGGTGGTCGTCTGCTGCAACTGTGCTCAGACAATCGTTTATTTTTAGCAAACACAAATTTTAAGCATAAGGAGAGACATCGTCTAACATGGCGACCCCCTGCACCAAACCAACGATGGACTCAAATAGACCATATTGCCATCAGTCATCGTTGGAGAGGGTCGATAGAAGATTGTCGCTCATTCTGGAGTACCTGCTTGGACTCCGACCATGCCCTAATACGAGCACGCATCTGCTTGCGCCTCACTGGACGCAAAAAAGCCACACAAAAAAGACTCATGAGAACCGAATTGAGTAATGAGAAAACCAAAAGTAGGTTCCAGGAACAACTGAGGTCACACTTAGGTAGTTCTGAAAACGAGGCTGACCCAGATGTTGCTTAGAAAGTTATACAAGCAGTTGTGGAAACAGCAGTGACATCTACTAGTGATTTAAACCACAGGGTTACAAAGAACCAATGGATTTCTTCAAGGTCTATTGCACTGATGGATTCTCGCAAACTCATCCCATCAGGTTCTGAACACGATGAAGAGCGTAAACAAATCAGATCTAGGTTAAGCAAAAGTCTAAGGAACGACCGTGAGTAGTGGTGGGCAACGAAAGCAAAAGAGATGGAAAAGGCAGTGGCTATAGGTAACATCAGACATCTCTTCAGACTCTTAAAAGAAACTGGAACTAAAAGGTCAGGTCTAAGTGAGACTATCTCGGAAAAAAACGACACTCTCATCTGTTCCCAGTCCAGACGTTTGGAACGATGGGCGGAACACTTTAAGGAACAGTTCAGCTGGCCTTCAGCTACTCTACAACTACCCTCTATTCCCAGACAGTGTGAATGGAACATTGAAGTAGGTCCTCCAACTCTAGCTGAAGTTCAAATGGCTATAGCTAATCTGAAACGAGGAAGGGCAGCAGGTCGAGATGGATTGGTTCCAGAGGTCTTTAAGGATGGTGGTCTAGTTTTAGCGATTAGGTTGACTAATATTTTAGCTAAAATCTGGGAGTTGGACGTAATCCCCTCTGACTGGTCACAATCTCTTATCGTCCCAATATATAAGAAAGGGTCAAGGCTGTCCAATTTCTGCATTTTTGTTTAACTTCATCATAGATCTACTGATGGAAATAACGCTCTCATCGACTGAATTCTCAGGTATTGATCTCCTACCAGGAGGTCCACTTATCGACTTAGAGTACGCAGATGACATAGTCCTGTTTGGTGAAGACGCTGATAAAATGCAGAGTCTTTTGGTAGCACTGAACAACAATGCTAGAATGTTTGGGATGCGCTTCTCTCCCTCTAAATGCAAGTTATTGCTTCAGGACTGGTCTACGTCAACACTTGAACTAGGGATAGGGAGCGAATTAGTCGAACGTGTCAACAATTTCACTTATCTTTGAAGTTTGATCAACCTTAATGGGTTGGTGTCTGACGAAATCTCAGTACGGATTCGAAAAGCTCGTTTGGCCTTTGCCAACTTACGTCACCTATGGCGAAGGCGAGATATCCGTCTATCAATTAAGGGACGAGTATACTGCGCGGCAGTTCGTTCCGTTCTACTACACGCCTTCGAAACATGGCCTTTAAGAGTAGAAGATACTCCATCGACTGAGGTGGTTGGGCCACGTGCTGCGTATGCCTGAACACCGATTACCACGACGCGCAATGCTAACCGGTGTTAGGGATGACTGGAAGAAAGTTAGGGGCGGCCAAACCAAAACGTGGCATCAGTGCTTGAAGTCACTAACTTCTGGTCTGAGCTATGTTAGTAGATGCAGACCACTTGGTTGGGGTCCGCGTGACTATCGTAACCAATGGTTGAAGACTCTTGGTGACATGGCTCAGAATCGATCACAATGGCGTAGATCTATACACACTTTGTCTTCCTTTAAACCGTGAGATTAAAATTGCTTTTTATCTTTCTTTCTACCAACTAATTCTTTTTTCCTGTATTATATCCTTATATGCAATCTTTCTGTTATATGTTACTACCATTGAAGTAACTACTATGAATTCAGTGTTTATGTTGTTGTGCTAATGAGGTGTAGCAACTTGGACCGATGCATATGTGTGCCTGGTACTACGTTGCAGCTGACTGAATAAGTGCTAGCTATTTTATCCATTTGTCGGTGAGAATATGTCTTAATATGAACATTGTTTCGTTTTTATCTTTTGCCTCTGGATACACATGTTTCTGTTGTAGTTTGTTTCCTTCTAAATAGATTCGTTTTTTAATATGATGAATGAAATATAGGAGACTGAATACATCGGGATTGTTTAGAGTAAACTGAGAAAATGTGTTAGTTCCTAATGACATTTAAAAAATGTTTATATCAGTACAGATATAAGTAATTAATATGTATCATGAGTATATTTGTAACATGCTCATATTGTGATGTATGCCACTTATGTTGACACATATAAGCAATATGTAACACAAATCGAAAGCATTCTATAATTTTTCTGTCAAACGGGAGAAACGGAGAGTGCAGTTCTGTGCACGCTGTTGTGGGTCTGAGAGGGGAATCGCTGGTTAGTGCGACAATGAGACGTCGAGTGGAGTGCTCTGGTGGAGCGGCGCCGACTGAATCAGTCGCTGCTGATGAGGAGACGTCATGAGTCTGATTTTTGAGTGGACATCGGGTGTAGATGGCTCGACAGGTCTTTGGAGAGCAGGAGTTGGACGTCCCGGGTGCTGGGCGAATATCGGACTTAGATGGCCCGAGAGGTTGAAATTGCCACAAAGGTTAGCGCGCTGGTGGCTCGACATATCATTGGGAGGAGAAACACTGACTGCGACAAAGAAGAAAACTGCACGGTGAGCAAAACGACCCCACGAGTGACTTTCACCTCAAGATAGGACGAGTGTGGTGTATGCTACTTATGTTGACCGATATGAGTAGTAGGTAGCACCAATCGGAAGTGGAATGCATGCCAACAAGAGAATGACAATATATAATTGGAGAGAACAGGAATGTAGACAGAGAGTAGTCGTAATAACAACTGAAATGGAGTAACAATGAAGAGACAATTGATGGGAGATGTGAAAATAATGTATTTAATATGTGGTTTTCATATTTTACGAAGATACTGTAATTTCCCTATAGACAATTAATTCGTTTCCTCCTACCTGAGTTCTTGTTAACTATAATATTATCTACGAGATACAATGTATGAATTCATTCAATTAAATTCTATGTAAACAATTAAGTTGAAAGGAAATATATGTATGTATACCAATGGAGATACAGTGTATAAAAAACTTGATATATACTATTGAGACTAGCTTAAAATAATCGTGACAATTTTTCAGCCAATTCTTAGTCATTGAGATCATAAATCGATCAGTGTCAGACCAACACTTAAGAGCTTTGAAGCACTAGATGTCCGTTTCGTCCTACTATGAGACTCTTCGGTTTATGATCCCACTTAAAACTCAAAAATCTCCACAACCCTATACTGATAATTCTTAGTCAGTAAAAAAACAAATGTTGTAATTGAATAATATATGGAAAAAAATAGCTGAATTCAGTTATTTAATTACTCCGAAGAAGTGGGTTACATCAAGCCATGAAACGTCAGAAATGCAGTTTTTCTACTCATTGGAACATAAAAAAAATATTATTATGTAACAAAATTTATTATCAACTTTCCACTCAATGCTCAATTTATTTGAAACTATCAATTTAAAACTTAGCATTGATACCTATAAACTCACTAATTATTGTTATTGTTTAATCATGGGTTTATTGTTGTATTCACTACGTACCCTTAACTGAATAACAGGTCATCCGGTGAGACTACAATTTATGGATGACCTTTGAGCGACGCTAGACTGAATTTGAGAGTGTCTATTTAATAACCGGGACGAAATGAGGGTTATGAACCTATGTGAGGAATTAGAATTACAATTTACAGTTGATGATTAAACTTAGGAATTAGATTTAGGGTTTTCATCACGGACTGACATTAACTATAATGCCAAAACTATTTATCCAAATAGATGAGTAAATTTCGGGCCAAAATCCGAGACCTCATATCTTATGTGTGATTGGTTCGTCCATAAATTATAGTCTCGCCGGTCATCCATATAATTTACTTTTGTTCATGTGCAGTTGCGATAATATTTCATTGTTATGGCTAACTCATTGATTGATTACTATCAGTATATTTAAACTAGAGAAATCACTGATAAAACTGTATTTAGTCACTGTTACTAAATAAGACAATAATGTTGATGATCATGATTCAGATCGATCACAAGATATGTCTTATTGTTACTGATATTCTTGAAAAATATGAAAGTGAGATTAAACCTCTAACCATACAATTTATCACAATTGTATGAGATTTTGTTCAATGTGTAAAATAATATAAAAATGTTTAGAAATTCCATAACACTTGGTTGATAAACATTAGACATTATCCCCAATATATGTAAAACTTTTTAGATATTCAACAAAATTTCTGTTCGTCAAACTATTAATTATTTATAATGTTGACCAGTTGTCTACATGACGAAATTGTTTATTAATTTGACCTAAGCTCATTTTTGAGTAAATGTCTGTTCCCTTTTTTTACAACTTTCAATAGTTGAGTTCTCAGTTTATGTTTTTTTTCTTTTTACAGTCTCGTGGATGTATGATCATGACAGAGACAATTTTTGTAATAGCAATAGGAGTTCGATTTTATAAGAAATGATCAAAATGAGTTTCTGATATTTAATGTCTTTTCGCCTAGTCAATGTGTTAATTTTTCTTGTTCTTGACAAAAGTTTGATCAACTTCCATTTAGGATAAAAACTCATCACTATTCTCTGTCAAAATTTTTATTTATTTCTCTTTACAGATTCTATTTCCAGTGAATCGGATCAATTGATAAACTTGTCTAAGACAAATTCTGCGGATTTACAAAATTCAATGAATAATAAAGTAAATAATTCACATGGATTCGGTCGTAGACGTTCTAATGTACCCAATTCTTATCCAACTTATGAAGAAGCTTGGGATTTAAAATTAGCTCGTCAACTTGGTGTCGGTGTATCACGTCTACCATCAATTATTCCGCTATCATCAAATGTTCAAAATTACATTCCACAACTTCCTTTTTCTATACCTTCCAATACTTCTACAAATAATCATGATTTAAATATCCCAATATCTCCTGTTTCTGTTTATAATAAAAATAAAATTAGAAATAATAATTCAAATTTTTCACCGTTTCAGCCTTTGTCATTGGATAATAATAGTAATAATAATAGACAATGTTCAACTGATGATTCTCACTCTATTGAATCGAATTTCAAATTGTTGAATATTTCAACATCGACATCCTCTTCGTCTTCTTCTGCTTCTTCTTGTTCAAATGATAAAGTCATAAATTCAACTAGTAATTCTGAATTAATATCAGTAATGACCACTACTAATCATGTGGATGAATCAAATCGTGCAGATCATGTGGTGGATACAAGACCAGTACATTTGAATAAATTGGATCGAAAATCAACTAATGGTTCATTTCGTCATGATGAACTAATTAGTAATAATTCTAGTCATATGGTGGTATGTATCATAAATATCATATTTTACTTGTGATTTTAGGTTATTGTATGTGTGTGTGTCATTGAAATGCTACGAGATCTTATAGATATGTTTAACGCATGTATTAAGTACGATTTTTATGCAAAGGCTAACGAAACTATTCGGTCGATCGAACTAAAATTAGGTGGGGTGGGATTCGAACCTGCCACTTACTAGTTGAAAGCGATGTGCTTTAATCGTACGAAAGTACCATTTCACAGGATTTAATAGTATTTATGCAGTACTAGTAAGCCCTTGTTTCTTCTATCATTTTTGAAAATATCTCTTGACAGGAGGTTGTTAAATAGATTAGTATAAATATTATATATACACTGATATGTAGTGGGTTAAGAAAATGACATTACTTATTCATTGATAAAATTTAGGAGGTTACTTATAATGTGACCGTAATTTTTAAAATCACTCTAAGGAATGTAGGAATGAGTATGATACTTTAAAATTGTTAGTCCGTGTGATAAATCTAGGGAAATGGAACGACAAAACAATATTTATCAAAATCACGCGATATATTAGAGCAATACATTTCAAACAATCTGGATATCAGAATGTAATCAGTATTATCAGGTTAGGTTTATTGTAAATATCGATGCATGATGAAGTTTTGTCTTCCGTATGACTTAAGTTTTGAAATATCAAAGTACTTCATCCTAAACAACGTTCATACAAAGATCACAAAGGCTAACTTGAGATTCAGCTTATGACTTGTTTCTCAAATTTGGTTTTAGCAGTGGAAGGAAATGAACGTTTATTATCTGATCTTGGATTATAAGGTGTGATTTGTTTTTTTCCAGCATCGTGATCCACCCTTTTTTGTTTGCCCTATATGTTTTTTTTTCACATGTATACGTAGATTTGTAAACTGTCTGAGATGTGATACAATCATTTACACACCATTTATACTTCGAATTAAGCTAGGAAGTTTTTCAACCATTATAACCTTGACTCGTCAGCACATTCCACTGATAATCAACTCCAGCCTTTGTTTTTGTGCAAAATTATTTAACTTAGATCTGTCTAATAACTTCCATCTTATGTAAATGGAGTGTCATATACATAGACAAACAATCTGATGCTCTATGGGAGCACCACCAAAAATATCCTATTCATTCTCGAATTCTCTTCATCAATTCAACTTATACCTTTTATTTTGTTTCTGCCATATAGTTTTTATTCTCTTTTCTATTTTATAATATTACATTTTTTAATACTACTGTTATACAATCGTCTGTTTGTTTTTCTCTTGTAACATTTCATAATCTGTAATGGTCACTTGAGAGTAATTAATTCATAGATAATTATGATTGTTACATTTTATTTATTTCATTTTACATTGGTCCCTTTTTTTAAAAATTTTTTCTTAAAAGAAAATTTCAAATTAGATATTAGTTAGGTTAATGGCAGATATTATATTTTAAATAATCATTTTATCATATATATATATATATATATATATATATATATATATATATATATATATATATATTTCTTAGTGTATTTTATTCAGTCTAATTAATAAAATACAACGGACAAACTGTAATACTTTAATTTTATTAGAAAGATAAAGATTAACAACTGTTTTAATGTATAAAATGAATTAATGGGATTTTTATTAGAAAAATCATCGATTCTAATCAAGAATTGCTTAACCATTTTATATTTATTATTGGGGTTTATAAAGATTGTTGAATTTTCATAGTTTATATCATGGATTGTTGTTAGTTGAAAAATCATTAAAAAGCAGATAGCACTGGATAACTGTTTCGTTTTAGTGTGGGACTTATTGATAGTGAGCACCCAAAACTACGACGGGGATCGAACCCAGGACCCTGAAGTCTCGAGATAACCTTATAAGATTTAAATAATTGAGCCTCTATCCAAGGGTTTACATATTTAACTTCAATCAATTTACGATATTGTTCGACTCAACATTGTCTGAACACACTGATCTTGGCTTCTGGTTTATGTTTATCATTCAGTAAAAGTTTATTATAGGAGTAGCATTCAAAGAAGTAAACTACTCCTTACTAATTGATCGTTTGACTAAAACAAAAATAAAAAACAAGCATACACACACAAAATTGAGAATAACTTAGTAATGATAGGTTAAAATTAATCATACAGTGATTAATTAATTAATTGCGAAGTATTCATATTTTCTCAGTGTTGATGCGGCATTTAGAACCAAACTGTTCTGTCAGTCTTTTTCAGTACATGATTATTTAAGCAGAAGGCTCTATATAAGCTGAATTGACTATTCTGATTATAATTTTTGCATTGATTAGCGTTGAATTACTGAGGATACGTTTCGTCCCGTTTTGATACTCGACAGATGAATTCACTTGTGTATCTGTATTTAATATTCACATCGGAATTCACACTCAGCATCAATTCGATTCTCTCTTTTCTCCTTTTTGTGAGCATTTATTAACAGAATAGTTACTTGTTTTAAATTATTCTAATCAATGAATACTTATTATTTTGTCCGGTTATGCTTTTTCACTATGGTTCGACATAAGCCTAATGATTTCGGTTAATATAACTGTGTTGTTTTTGTAAAATTCCCGTCTATCCTTAAATGTTTATTTAGTTCATTTTGCAGTTGTGATATTCGTTCAGATATTTTTTGCATAATTCTACGTGAATTGGTTTTCTCTGTTTATCATGATCATTAGTGTTCATGGTGTATGGATGCACGTATTTATGTTCATTTGTAATTTGTGCTGGTTAACTAGTAATATTTTACTCCTATTTTTATCAATGATAACTATTATTAGTGTCTGAGATAACATGATCGATTAAATATTGATCACTTTCAAACATATAATAGTACAAGACAAGATATAGTCGATTGTGTTACTTGGGCGTTTCTAACTTTAGTAACTATTATACCGATTTTTTTCTTTTGTCTACCTCAAAATCCCTAACATTTATTTTTAACGGCTGATAACTGTTTTTAGGATTTGATATTATGACGTATTATAACATTTGGATGCACCTTTTTTGGTGGGACGCAGATGTAAAATCAATTCAGGTGTCATTTTGTTATATGGACAGAGATATGAGTGAATGAAAAGTTCTTTAGTTTTTTAACTGTAGATTACTAATCGAAAAATTAAAACAATTAGGTTTGAGGCAAATACACTTTTGGGATAAATATTCAATACAAAACATAAATTGAAGACCATAAATAAAAAAACAGTTTGTAGATCAATATTACTTCAGACAGATAAATTATGAGACAAGTTTGTCAGATGAATAAATGGAGATTGATAAAAACAATTGTATAATTAGTGAATAAATCAAATGTTCAATCGGAGATTACGTAATGTGAATAAAATGACGTGTACTAAACAAATGTTAAGAATAGGATAAATGCGAAGTCAAGCTTTGCTATATTTTTTGTGATATATATCAAACTGGATGGATAAAATTAAATAGTGATAATTCAACGTTGGTAAGGGGAAGTAGTTTGTATTTACAGCGTATTTGATCATTAATTGATTGGGTTTGATAAGATAACTGGTGTAAAGATAGAAGTGGAATCTAATTTTTCAAATCCACCTTCCCACTTATTCGTATGACATTAGATTCTGCCATTTGTGTAATCAGGAGTATAACTGCCTTCAATAAATTACTAAGCACGGCAAATTATTGATAATAAGTGACTAATCATTGGCCTTTTATTAGTTCACATTTTTTACATTGCAAAGCTACACTTTTGCTTAGCCATCCTCTAAGATGTTCATGTATATGGAAAAGTAAATTTTTCTAATATCGGTCGATGCAACTTGTTACACATGGGTAATTGAATCAATAAGTCTAAAAAAAAGACTGGTATAAGTAATTCGTCTTTCAGTCATTATCCAACTCAGAAATCATTCGTTGTAATTTCCGTGTATTTTCTCCACTCCTGAATGCTGTAAACGCTGCTTCTGTTCATAATTGAAACATCATTATCAATCATCATTTATACCATCCATATGGTGGTGGTCAGTTCAATGTTTTATAAACTGTACAATATAACATTGTAAATCAACGCTATTCATTGGTTAACTGAAATCTACTAGAAATAACACTAATAATGGGTAGTTGAAAAGTTCTCCAAATAGATAATGCTAAGAATTTTAACGTAAAAATATAAGTTTTAGTGATATTGTTATATCGTTCAATTAAATGGGGATACTTCGACATTTCGACGACGGATTCCATTTAGTGTTGTTGTTGTTGTTGTTGTTGCTTGTAATCAACGGGACATAGATCTGACTTTGGTTACAACTTTTGACTTATTGGAGAAATGTCTCAATCATTGAATTTATTATTGTTAAGCTATTCGTACAGTGGGATCAATGTTTACTACACTGTTGTAAAATGAGGTTGCTTACACTTCTTTTTCAAAGTTGTTTATAAACTTTAATAGATTATGGGTTCTATCGTACATTCTTTCTCCGGTTTTGAAGGATAACAAGAATTAAGTATACGTGTTTATTAGTTTAGATGTAGTTCAGTAGTAAAATGAAGTTATCACTTGTTTTAACTCCAATCAATAAATTTCATTACAGCCTATAATTAGTCCTTGAAGTTCTTTCATTTCGTTTTCACTAAACTATCCTAGAATTATTCTTCTTTAAAATTCTCTTTTCTGTAATTTAAATGGGTAAGCTTAAACTGTTGTTACTGGCAGTTTGTACTAATCTTTTTTTAATCTCTTTCTATTGGTTTATTATTTAGTTAAGTGGAAAAACGGAGAACAACGGTGAATATGATTACGCTTATAATGGTTCATGGAGTATGGGTGTCAAAGTAAGTTTTTTTGTTTTACCTCATTCTATATATGCATTCTGTAGAACGTTTATTTCATCTTATATGACATAAATTTAATCTAGATTTAGTTTTCTGGTTTATAATGTTTAAAATCATTACGCTACACTTCCGTTTCCAACAGAAATACAATTAGTATAACTTAAAATAAAATAGCGAATCCGTACTTGATTCTTGATTTGACTATGAATAGTTAAATGATATATTAACCAATCCTAAGTGGTTCACGTTTGTGTTTCCTAAACACGACCTATCACAACGTGCGTTGCTGAACGACAGAAGAATAGATTGGAAAACGTTTGAGTGCTAGGAGGTCAAAATATGGTAACAATACATAAAGTCAGAGAATATTAGTTTAATCTATGCTAAGAGGTACTGGTTTGTTGAAGTCAGGATAATCGTAATTTTTGGTTGGGGACCTTAAGCTATACGACGCAACATTGGTGGAATTTGATTTTAGTACTCCTCTAAATCTTGAGGTTTAATATTATCTCCGAATTTTAACTCATTCACTTCATCAACATTTCTCACGGAAATATGTTTCTTATGTTTTATTTTCACTACTGCTGATGTTATTTTCAGATTTCCTACTCATCTTTATTTTCCTTTCCTGTACTGTTGTGAAACGTATCAACTTGAACTAATGTGTACTTATTACTAAACTTCATGTTGTTCCCAACTGAATGACTTTAACTTCTAAAGAAAAGTATTGAAAATGAACAGTTTGTATTCTATTCGAACTCGGGAGTATATCATAATAACAGATTTTTTTTCATTTAACTGTACTCTGTCGTTATCATTATCATTAATATTATTACTACCATTATTATTTTTCGTATTATTATCCATAGAATCATATCTAGTCAGTGTAGAAATTATTTATTGTAGGTTTTAAAAAATGTTAATTTGATAAATTATGGTCATAGTGGATAGCGTAAGCTCTTTTCAGTATTCAATTGTAATAAATTTCGAATTCCTCTAATGGTTATCACCCAATGATTTCACAACAAATGAACAATTAAACTTCAAAATCCCATTTATTTCTGTTTTATTTTTGAAAATAAATATTGTAAAACGAAAATCTAGAGGTAAATATTAACTTACATTCGATCACAATAATGTCATAAGCGAAACCTTACTTGCTCACTGTTTTCTTATTATTGTAAAACTAAAATGAATCGTATCTTTCACTTAATAATGTGTGCAGTATATTCATGATTATGAACATTAGATTATCCATTTAATATCATCTATGGGATTTATTAAAACCTGCCTTAAGAACTGTATTTAAACTTCCCATTTTGCAATACAGAGAAAAGAGTACGAAAACAATTACTTCGTTTTATGTAGTGGTGAAATATCATTAGGTTTTCATAAATCCCTTCATACTAATTACTTAGCTCCAATAATTATTCAATCAGTTTTCTTTCCATAACTCAATAGTTCTTTAATAAATATACAAATCTAAAGACATTTTGTGTCATGGATTAACTTTAGTTCTATAAATGTGGGAAACCAGGATGTACTGGACAAATAATTCGTTCCAATATGGAATGCAGTTGCATTGCGTGCACATGTAATTACCAGTGATCGAGTCCGAAACCTTCAGGCCCCATTACGATATGTCGCCCTTAAATCAACAAGTTGACATTCTGTCATTCATATTTTCAATTGCCAAATTTTCTTTTAGTTCTGTAATTTAACATTTATAGACGACTGTAAAGGTGTTTTCAAAAATACTTTCATTCCATAGTTGTCTCTTGTTTTCTAATAAAATAATTATTGTATTTCAAAATATCCATTTGTACTTATTTGTATGTAGAGATAGTTGAAAGAGAATTCCACTTGAGATGCAAAATGAAATGTTTGGCATCGGTTGTGTTGTATATGCATATATATTCTTAACCATAGATTCTTTGCTCATCAAATATGTACTTAGCATTAATTTGTTTGTTTCTCTGTTCTGTTCTCTTGTTATTATCTAAAGAGTGTGTTTACGCTGGTTTGCCTAAGTCTTAGTGTAAATAAACATTTTAAATGTCAATGCGATTTGTCAAACGGATTAATGAGTAAGTATTCAGCGTATCAGTTAACACTAAACAAAAGAATTACCTATTATATACAAGGATAATAATTAGAATTGGAAATATGGAGATTATTAATATTATAACTTAAAAAAGTCTTATATGAATTGTTTTATAATCTATCAACTGAGCCAATAAAATCTATTTACTGACCAAATTTTATTTTCCCTTCAACTACTGAATATTATGCTTGATTGTGTTTTTGAATAATAGACTCACTCAAATCTATTTGTCTGTAGGTTTGAAGAGAAACTGGTGGATAGATTGTTTTCTGCTTTTCCTTTTTCTATGGAACACTTTTCTGCTCTGACACTCAAGGAATTTTTAAGTTATCTCTGAAAACATTGAACCCCTATAAGCAAAGAGGGATGGTAGCTAGCAATGGAATTCACGAAGTGCGTTTCGTCCTATTTGGGACTCGTCAGCTGGACATACTTGGATCTTGGAATTGAAGTTCACTCCGGGACGCAGACCAAATACTGTTCGCTTTAAACGCCATCATGTTATCCACTTAGTTACTGAGTCTTGATAGCCAATAGTTTATACAACGGGGTGAAGTTTAAATTCATTTTGTATTGTTTTTTGAGTCTTTCCATTGATGTTTAGGACTGCAGTTAATCAGTCTCTTATTAGCATATGTGCGTTCTGTGCGGATCGCCTCAATATTGCCCTAAGTCACAAGCGTTATGAGCGGAGATGGATAGTGGTTAGCAGTGGAATCCAGAACATGCGTTTCGTCTTATTTGGGACTCTTCAGATGGATATACCTGTCAGGCGCTACTGGGAATTTAGTGCTAATAACTTATACTGTTTAAATCCCAAACACGGTATCTAAACATAAGGTATCACAGATAAGACACTTTTTTTACTTGAGGACCAGTTATACCACCAGCATTTGAAGGATGAGATAGGTGGGAAGTTGAAGTCTGCAATTTAATGCCTGGAAGTCAAATGCTCTAACATCTAAGTAAACACCTGTAACTAGTAATCTTATATGAGAAAAGAATTCGAACATACACATATAATTATTTTTTATTTAATAGTTTTTACTTAAAATTTAGAATTCGACAATCGTTTCTGATACATTAGTTCTACTGATGTTCTTCATAACACCTCATGAACTCTTACGCCAGAAAAAGTCATTTTCTACAACTTACCATGTCGAAATGCCATGAACCCTGCACCCAACATAAATTTCTAAGTTTATCTTTCTTTTAATAAACTAAACCTTATGTCAAACCTTAGAACTATTCAACACGTAGAAGTCTTGGATTCCTCTGCTAACCACCATCCATCTTTGCTCATAACGTTTGTGACTTGAGACAATATCGAAGCAATCCGCACAGGATGCATAAATGCCAGTAAGAGACCGACCAACTACAGTCCTAAACATCAATGGGAAAACTCGAAAAACAATACAAAGTGAATTGAACTATTGTTGTCGTAGTTAAAATGGGTCGAATAGCTTGCCTTTCATTTGTTGCATATTTAATGACCCTGATTTCATTTTATAACAGATAGGTAGAATATTTTTTAGAACTGTCCGGTAGGGAGATATAAGACAACTTACCAGGTGAGTATCCAGTGTAAACATTTGTTTTAGTTGTTTGGATATATAGATTATTTTATTTTTATTTTATTTTAACACATAGATATTGGTACGAGGATGCACCAAATACATATGCGCCACACAGATCTCATTTGATATGTGTGAGAGCTGTGATACTTCCCGGGTGCCCAAACCGAAGCAGGTGGTTTTCTCAGGGGGCAACACCCCGAGCCTTCGATCTGAAGACCTGATCCACAAGGCAGTGGAGCATCGTACGGAGATGCAGTCCCATGGTAGCCGGTGACCAACGACTGGTTCATACGCCACTTGTTCCCTCAGAATACTGGAGCCCATGTACACCATTGGTTTAGGATTCGGTTAAAGCGCCGGACATCCGCTTTTCGTCCTCTCATTTACGTAAACAACACCCCCGCCACGTGAAGGCAGTGAGTAGGACTTTCCTGGCAGAGGCTGTATACGCGTGGCCATGTGAGAGCATTTCGAGAGGGAGAGCGGACTCTCCCTACTCTCGGCCCGTACCAGGGCATTTGGGAGCCCGGATAGCTCAGTGGGTGACACGGGATCGAATCCTCCAGGGAGCACCAGATCCCTCAAGATTACAGGTACACCTTACTGACGAGTGCCGAGTAGCATATGTAGATTAAGAGTTGGATAGAATTGGAGTATATATTGTTTTATTAATATTTAGAATCTGTTACAGTGAAATGTAACTTACTTTTTTCATCAACATATTTGTTTAATTCACTGATTGGTACTTATCAACTAGGTTTACTTAGTGGTTTAATTTACACACATATTTATTTCCTTACTTACTTGCTCACATGCATACACATACATTCAAACGTTTAATTAGGTATATATTTACATACATACTGCAAAACTCAGCTTCATTTCAGATGAATCATAAGATTCCACAGGTGGACTAAAACTAGAGAATATAGTAATCTGAATAATATCCATGTAATACTTCCGTATTGGTTCAATAAGTCAGCGTGGGAAACCGAAGATCCTGGGTCTGATACTTCGTGGTGGGTCGCAGATACGTACTTCTGAAGTATCCCATATTAAAACGAAACAGTTGTCCAGTACTTCCTAGTTTTCAATGGTGATCTAGCTCAGGTCACTTCATGACCTTAAACTGAAAACTCCATAATCTTCAGATAACCATATATCGGTAACACATCATATGTTCAGTAAAAGTACACTATATCAACGAGCCAATCCGAATCGAACAGACCTCTTTTGTGTTATCACACTAAATTTAAAAATAACTGACTTTTATATTGTATTACGTAAAACAAAAAGTAGAATTACTTTTGCATCGTGCTCAGAACGCTCAAATTGATAAAGCAATATTTCTTATTGCTACTATAGAGTAAAAATAGTGTTTAAAGCATCAACTGCTCAAGTCTTCCTATTCAAATTGTATACATCATACAAATCAAGATTGTTCACATACCACCCAACCTAATAAATTTAACTCTAAACTCCTGTTTCTCACCCGTTTATCCTAAACCAAAAACAATGTAAGGACTTTTAAAAATCTATATACGTTCTTATAGAGTTTCGGAAAGATAGTTTATATCCATATAGAATAAACTGTCGTAAACTTCAATAGATTTGTTATGTAAAATATTTTAAACTTTTTTAATATTATGCTCTAGTTACCATGACCTACTCATATATCAAGGTTTTTTGATTGGCTAACAAATGGCTGAAGTTCGTGTAATTTGTTTTAACCTCATCCTTATGTATATATTCCTTCCATTCAAAGGACTTACTCTTCACTTATTAGCAACTGGTTTTTCATCGAAAATTATTAATAATCAGTTAATTGTTGACTTGCAAATAATTTGGTATGGATCATATGTAATTTCAATCAAAAATTAATGTTATTGAAAATAAGAGTAGGATGATAGCAGTGATGTTAAATAAAAAAGTATTTCCGTCTATTTTCCTAAATATTATTTTATTATTGTGGTGCATGCTTCTTATATCTATCGACATAAGTAGTATATAAAATCAATCAGAATTAAATACCTGGCAGCAGAAAGTTGAAAAGATCGAATCGAACAGAACGGGAATGTGAACAGAGAGTAATTGTAATAGCAATGAAGGACCGATGAAGTTTGAGGCATTTGATGGATGATTTCCAAATGAAGTGTTTAATATATTCATATTTTATGAAAGAACTCTGTAATTTTGTAATAAAAAGTGAATTGGTTGTCCCGGATCTGAGTTTTCATTCAATACAATATTATTTACAGATTTCTCAATTAGCTGATTTAAAAATAGCTTAATCTATGCTAATCCGAATATGAATTATATGCTTAAGCTCATTTTCCGACTTATTCTGATATTCTTATATCTTTGTGTTCAGTTTGAAAGTTAGGTTTATAAGAATATTTTTGTAATGTTAGATTTAATGTTTACTTCTAAATTATCCGTTGTTTTTCTCTTCTGTGACTTGAAATATTAACATGGTCATTGGAACTAGTAAATCTTTAGTTATAGGAGTGCGCTTTCCTGTTTGCTCCTTTTTTTTGTACGTGTGTATATGTATATCAACATGTGTAGATATGTGTGTATTTAGGAAATAATCAGCTGTTATTTTCATTTCGTTTGACTATAGTATGTCTATTTCTTGTCGTCAGTGTCAGCATATAATATATTGTGTAGCCATTCTATTATAAGTCACCGCTTAGTCACTGGTTAGCTGCTGTTTTCTTTCTATTTTTTAAGAAAAACTTGAAAAATTTAGTCCTCATCAATTTTCTTTTTGTTGACTTGACCTTAAACATTGTAATATAATTGATGTGACTTGTATATTGAAGGATTTTTTTCTACACAAATTTTTACCCAAAATGGCAATAGCAACAACAACAAATTAGTTTAAATTTTGTTGTGTTTTACAAATTTCACCTTTTCGTGTTGTTTTTGAGAATTTGTGTAAATTCGTAAAAGTCAATATTATTTATTCATAAAGATTAAATGAAGTGATATTATGGTGTGTTTATTTTTGGTATTGTTTGTTTGTACATATTTTGTAAGCATTTTTCATCACGAACTAACGTCAATTTAATTTAACTCACTGAAGTCTAATTTTCACTGATCGTTACAACTGTAACATTACATCTTCGTAAAATCATCCTGCCAAATAATCTCACCGTGTACTTACTAGTGATTAACTCTGAGATAAGATTTTTTAAAATGAAAGTTCTGTTGAGAAACTATATCTACGGAATCAACAATGCGCATTGGTATAACTGTAACTAATAAATAACATTAAATCAGGAGCAAAGTTTACAATATAAACTTATGGAAGTTGTTTAAATTTTGAATCATTGTGTTCTTCTAATTCAGTTATCTAGCAGTATCACAGTTCTTGCGAAATTTTAAAGCACTCCGTTCTATCACATGTGCGTGGTTGTGATTGGCGTTTCCATAAGTACTAGTACCGAACTAGGATGAAACAGCTCTTCATTGTTTTACGATTTTAAACAGGTTCGTCTGAAACATACTTCTTAGTATAGTGGGGTTTTGTAGAGATTATTAAATTTTATAGTTTAGATTACAGATTGAACTCAGTTAAACAACCATTCATTGAAGGTAACTGTGCAAACCATTATGTAATCTACTCAGTAGTCTGAAGGTTATGCACCCACGGTGAGAATTGAAAGCTCCTGGGTTCAATTTTCAGTGAAGTTAAGAACACTTTTAAATCATTGCCTAATTATAAAGTGATGTTTCGTCGTCTTGAAATCTAAACAATAAGATGCCTTGATTATATGTAATTTTTTTCATAATATATCTTCTGTTTGCTCTTACGAATAAATGCATGCTGTTCAGTAGATTCACATATTGTAAACTTTGATCTAGCAATTTTTTTCGACAGCATACATCTTAGTAATAGGAATGTGTTATCATATTGCTAAATTCTATTGCGAATGGGCACTACAGATGTTGACATATGTGTGCATATATGTACATTTTACTGTATTTACAGTATGGCTTGAACTTTACATTTCATTCAGTAAAACTTATGAACCTTAAAACATTTTTGAAACTATATTTGAACTTGTGTACGTACGTACGTACGAAGTTCTATGCTGTTTCTGACTGACTTACATTAATTTGACCAATATTGTTCCCCTTTGTTTTTCTTTTAAAAATAGTTTACTCATTGTACATAGATAATGTAACTATAATTATTTATTCTTATGATTATTGGGCCTTTTTTAAAATTTAGCTCAGTTTAGATCTCGCCATCAATAATTCATCAAATGATACATCTTTACTACCAAATATACCAAAATATATTAATGCGACAACAACACCTACAGCAGCAATGATTAAAACGGTAAAGTCAAGTTTAAATCATCCTACGCCTTCATCACATCATCAACACCATCCAAATTACCATCATCAGCTTATACAACATGGTTTATCTTCTTCTGGTCAGTTACAAGAGTCTAGTAAATTCATTTCAATTAAAAATACTAATGGTAATGATTTAAAATTGAATTTGACTACTCGTCCTGTACAATCAGTTTTATCTAATGATCTCGATAGCATTTCTACAAGTAGTTGTGATGAGTCTTGGGATGCCCAACATGGTCGATTAGTTTCTAAATTAATGAGTAAGTTTATTAGAGTTTTGTTATTTAATATAAAAGAAAAACTTTCTGAACTCTATTTAATTATCTTTGCATATGAAATTCAATCATTTATCCTTAGTAATATCACTGATAATTTAATTGAAATGATATAATAATTAAGTATTGATCTGTTTCATTATGACGTCATATATTTAATGTTACATGTTTTTGGCATAAAGAATTTAGTTGAAATATTTCACTATGCCTAGAGTAAATTGTCTAGAAAAAAAGTATCGATAATCAATTTTCTATTCAATGATTTCACAGGAATTATTTAGTATTTTTTCTAAACCTTAACAGTTGTAAAATTGATTCTCATTTAATTAATATGAGACAACTATCAAATACTATTTCAACTAACTAGCTCAGAGAAAGTTTTATCTTCTATGTGTTAGTAATTATATTGGAATTGAATCGGAACTCATTTCATTCAATTAATTATGTCATATGAAAAAAAACTTTTAAGAAATGAATAAACATGGAAGCAGCAATATTTTGACCGTATAATTTTCTTCTGTCTATTTCAAATGATGATTATTCTCATGTTAAATTTATTTAGCATTATGAAATTATATGAAATATTAGAATAACAAATAAATGAGTTGAGAGTAGTTATAACTTAATCAATTTTTCTTTTGATTTTAATCTAAATATAAGCAATTGAGAGTTTTATTGATTCCTAATTGGAAAGCTCCATTGTTGATAGATAGTGTTCACATTTCATATGATTTCAGAGAATTCTATACGATGAACTCTTTCGGTTTTTAAACCATAATGTGTATTAAATGTGATTTTTTAAATCGTTTCATTCTTCCAGACGAGATGAACTCATATAATCTGAGGTTATGATATGGCTTTTGTCACGAATCGATATTATCTAGGGAACTATTATTAGTAGGTGAGAGCCGAACAACTATTTCTCTCCAGTTTAGGACTCAGCACTGTGCAACCTCGACATCATCAGGAGTCAAACATAGGAATATTCAGCCGTTCAGAAAACAAGCTACCTTCAAACTACTGAGTCGACACAGTGATCTACATTTCCAAGTTAATTGATGACTATAGCATGTTTATCATTCATTGTCATCTAGTGATTGATTATTATACTTTCGAGACAGTAGATCAGAGTTATCCTATTTTCTATATTTTAAAATATCATTTGTAGGTGGACGTTTTGTAGACCCTAGTACTATTATTTCAACCACTGGTAAATCTGGAAACGCGACAACAACTACAACAATGGAAGTGAATAATGATTTCTTGACTTCTGAAACTTGTAATTCTTCTGCAACAAATATTCTTACAGTTCCTAACCTGTCTTCAACCTTCTCGTCATGCACGTCTTCCTCCCCTTCTTTGTCGTCATCTTCATCATCAGTATCGATGACTTCACATGTAGTAATAACGTCAGTTGCTCCCCCTTCTCATTGTACCAGTTCTATGATACCTTCATCTAATGTTAATTTACATCATTCAATGAATTCAGTTAGTAAGAATAAATTGTTATCTAGTCAAAACAACCTACCGAAGGGTTTACCTCCTCATTTGGAAACATTGTCACTTGAAGAACAACCGTAAGTATTCACTAATGCGATTGTCATTTTGTTTTAATATCAATGAATATGTTTTTACTGTTTAGTTTTTGATAGTTAAGGGAGAACTTGGTTTTGAACGCTTGATGTTATTTTTAAACATTTTTTAATCATTTATTTAAAAAGTAAAAAAACAGGTTGCCGATACCCTTACATATTATTTGTCAATTTAACGTTGTTACTGTAACGACAATTATAAATGATATATATTTGCGATTTAATTTCAAAACCTCATGATCCAGAAAGTATGTCAGAAATCCATATGATTTTTGTTTGTTAGGTATCAATTGGCACTAAACCACCTAATACATCATCAATGGTGGTCCAGCTTAGATGAACTCCTGAATTCAACTGTTAAAATACTACAATCTCCACAAATCCTCATACTAATAATCATCACTGTTTTGGATTATTGAAACTTCGTTATAAAGTGAAATTTTATCACTGAATTTGATATGACTATCATGGTGTGTGGTAGGTACAACCTAGGGATTCTGTTAACGTAAATTCTTAAATTCCTGCTAACAAAATCAAAACAATATGAAAACATTTATTGTAGAAAGTTCTTCACATGCATTTCATAGTCTCTAGACAGTCAATTTATATGAAAGTATATAGATGAGTGTTTTGTTTTACAAAATGCGAAATTTTTTTTAGAAACCATGTAAAGTTTATGCATAAAATGCAATATCCGACTTTCTTTATAGTAAATAAACCTAAATATAAATACGTATGTTCTGATTAAATTGTTCACAGTTAAGAAATCTTTCAAAGAGAATATGTTCTTACGATCTTACCGTAGTGAACTACTTATTTCTTTATCTGATTAAGTAATCTTAATGATTATTATAGTGAAATTTTCTTCAAGAATGTGTGAGTATAGTTTTCTGCTGATCAATATTCAATGAACTGGCTGGTTAAGTATTGTTATGTATATAAAGCTCTTTTCTACAATAACAGTTTTTTATTCGATTATCTAATAAATTAATAACAAGCTTTTGTTTGTGAGTACTTCAACTTATTTTGAAGATGAATCGGTTAACTCGTATCGTTACATTTCATTTATTTATTTCTTCATTAATTATAAACGTAATTTTTCATTATTGTTGTAAATATTTGTTTCTTATCAATCTATTATATTGGATCGAATCAGAACTATGTGTTAATTGAACTGATACACCACCTATTCATACATACATCATGTCACAGGTCCTGTTTTATTATTTCTGTTTGATAGTCTGTTAAGCGCCTGGCGCGAGACTGATAGGTCCTGGGTTCGAATCCCGCGGGGGGCGGGTTCGTGGATGCGCACTTCTGAGGAGTCCCATACTAGGACGAAACGGTCGTCCAGTGCTTCCACGTTTTCCATGGTGGTCTAGCTTCAATTGATTCATGATTTCAACTATTGAAATTTTTAATTCTCCACAAAACCTATTCTAGTCTGTTCATTAACTAACAAGATATGATAACTGTAATAAACTTAATCTAATTTCCGTATAATATTAGTTTGACCAATAAATTTTACCAGTCTGAATAAATTATTATGCGAACCAGTGAAATTTAATGATTATCGATTGGTGATCAGAAGAATACGATTTCATCTTGTGTGTGATAGTCATTTCATCTCCAACATTTGAATAAGTTTGCTTAATTCTAAAGATTTATTATAATGATATATAAAGAGACGGTGGAGAAAGTGGAAATTTCTTCTACAATATACGAAACTAAAACGCATCATAAATCGTTAGAGATCCTACATTATTGTCTTTCAAAATCAGGAATATTCGAATATTAAATGAATGGACTATGAGACACTTAACTACTAACCAACTTACGTTTCAACAAACGTCTCTTACTCTTTTTATAAGTCACAATAAATTTTTATTTACATCTATACCCAAATAAGTAATGAAAATTAAGTAAACATTCTTCCAAGAATGTGGAAGTCTGTACCACAGTGAATAAGCAACAGGCTGAAGAGTATAAGTTTTAAATTAAGTCATCCTTTATAACCTGCTTATTGCATAGCTTGTGTGCTAGATACAGTATTGTGAAGCTTTCGTGCTTTTGTTAGTGTGCATGGATTGTAGTGTATCATCGTCTCATTCTATCAGGAGATATACAAGTAAAAAGACGTAAATAGAGTGATTGGTTAGTGTCTGATAAAATTACACTTCTGCTGTTTACAAGATTTCAAGTGTCTATTCATAACCATATAAATAACGAAACCAAAAGATTCACCACATGCCTTGTTAATTACTTTCAGCAATCGTTTTTCAAAATCCATGAAAGAATAATGGGCGACAGAAAGGGATAATAGGTTGTACACAAGAATTCACAAATCATGAAAGTGACGTGCGATTCCAGAAAAACATGCAGCCTCTTTGGATAATGAGCCAAATGGAAACTTTGCAATGTTAACAAAACATGAAGAGACCAACAGAGATCAAAATAAAAACCGACATCAAAATAAATGACACTTAACTCAGTTTTTATTGTAGAATCCTTGATCAGTCAATCAGTCAGTCAGCTGCAACGTAGGGCGAAGCACAAATGTGCATCGTTCCAAGTTGCCATACCGCATTAGCACAACAAGATGAACACCGGATTCATAGAAGTAGTTAATTCAGTGGTGGTAATATATAGAAGAAAGAGTGTGTATAAGGAGATAGTACAGGAAAATAGAATTAGTTCGTAGAAAGAAAGATTTGAAGTGATTTTAATCTCTTAGTTTAAAGGAAGACAAAGTGTGTATAGATCTACGCCATTGTGATCGATTCTGAGCCATGTCACCAAGAGTCTCCAACCATTGGTTACGATAGTCACGCGAACCCCAACCAGGCAGTCTGAAGCTTCCAACATGGCTCAGACCAGAAGTTAGTGACTTCAAGCACTGATGCCACGTTTTGGTTTGGCCGCCCCTAACTTTCTTCCAGTCATCCCCAACACCGGTTAGCATTGCGCGTCGTGGTAATCGGTGTTCAGGCATACGCAGCACGTGGCCCAACCATCTCAGTCGATGAAGGTTCATAACCTCATCAACTGATTTACCATCATTTCCTAATACCCTGCGTCTAACCTCACTATTACTTACCCGGTGATCTCAGCAGATACCAGCAATATTTGTAAGGCATCTGTGGTCAAATACTAGTAACTTACGAGTATCTTCTACTCTTCAAGGCCATGTTTCGCAGGCGTATAGTAGAACGGAACGAACTGCCGCGCAGTATACTCGTCCCTTAATTGGGACGATAAGTGATTGTGACCAGTTAGATGGGATAACGTCTAACTCCCAGATTTTAGCTAAAATATTAGTCAACCTAATCGCTAAGACTAGACCACCATCCTTAAAGACCTCTGGAACCAATCCATCTCGACCTGCTGCCCTTCCTCGTTTCAGATTAACTATAGCCTTTTGAACTTCAGCTAGAGTTGGGGGACCTACTTCAATGTTCCATTCACACTGTCTGGGAATAGAGGGTAGTTGTAGAGTAGCTGAAGGCCAGCTGAACTGTTCCTTAAAGTGTTCCGCCCATCGTTCCAAACGTCTGGACTGGGAACAGATGAGAGTGTCGTTTTTTTCCGAGATAGTCTCACTTAGACCTGACCTTTTAGTTCCAGTTTCTTTTAAGAGTCTGAAGAGATGTCTGATGTTACCTATAGCCACTGCCTTTTCCATCTCTTTTGCTTTCGTTGCCCACCACTACTCACGGTCGTTCCTTAGACTTTTGCTTAACCTAGATCTGATTTGTTTACGCTCTTCATCGTGTTCAGAACCTGATGGGATGAGTTTGCGAGAATCCATCAGTGCAATAGACCTTGAAGAAATCCATTGGTTCTTTGTAACCCTGTGGTTTAAATCACTAGTAGATGTCACTGCTGTTTCCACAACTGCTTGTATAACTTTCTAAGCAACATCTGGGTCAGCCTCGTTTTCAGAACTACCTAAGTGTGACCTCAGTTGTTCTTGGAACCCACTTCTGGTTTTCTCGTTATTCAGTTCAGTTCTAATGGGTCTTTTCAATGTGGCTTTTTTGCGTCCAGTGAGACAGAGTCCAAGCAGGTACTCCAGAATGAGCGACAATCTTCTATCGACCCTCTCCAACGATGACTGATGGCAATATGGTCTATTTGAGTCCATCGTTGGTTTGGTGCAGGGGGTCGCCATGTTAGACGATGTCTCTCCTTATGCTTAAAATTTGTGTTTGCTAAAAATAAACGATTGTCTGAGCACAGTTGCAGCAGACGACCACCATTATCTGTTCGCTGTGCCGGAATACTAAAATACCCTCCTAAATGTCTTTCTGTTTCGTTTAAGCTACCTACCTGGGCATTAAAGTCGCCTGCTACGAGTACTATGTCTGAACGTTTAGTTTTCTGAAGAAGTTCAGACAGCTTTCTGTAAAATTCATCTTTCATTCATCCGAACTGCAGTCAGTGGGAGCGTAGGCAGAAACGACGAAAAGGCAACGATGTGTGTCCCTATTCCTTCGAGTTCTTACCGAGCCGTTTAGCCGAACAGCGCATAGACGACTATTAACGGGGATCCACTCTAATAGCGCTTGTTCCGCCCTCATGCTTAGTGCTGTGCCTGCACCTGCAAGTCCACGAGAACTAGCTGTCGGGTCGCCAGATACACGGAAGGTGTGTCTCGTCGGCTCCCCGTTTTGCCGAGGTGAGGTCAAGTGAATGACCACACTAGGATCCTGTATGCGTGTTTCCTTGAAAGTATAAACTTCATGTGGTTCCTACGAAGTATTTAAGTCATGTTTATAACTCAGGCTAACTTTAACAATTTAACACCTAAATTAAGCCATTGTTCAATGAGCGCAAAGAAATCATTCATTTCAAAGAAATTTGGAAAGGAAGAAACCGGCATACATTCTGTTAGATTATCCACATACGTAACAAGAATGTTTTCTGTGGAAGATGACATCATACAGGAATAAGAAAAAAAGCAAGAGAGAGAGTCCCATCATATGGTACACCACCTTTGGTCAATAAGGTAGTACATTATTTCCCTCCATGAATAGTTTACTTTTCTCTACCAGATTAATAATTAAATAGTCAGTTGGCTGTTATCCCAGGTATCAATGTTAACCCTATTCAGCATATTTTTTGTTTGTATAAAAAAGACTCATTTCAAGCAACATGTAACATGTCTTCTAAAGAATAAAACGATAAGAATAATTATTTACAAATGTTACGTAACATCTAATGTTATTTCATCTTTTACCCTTTATTGTGTCCAATTTTATATTGACAGCAGAACAAAATATTGTGAAATTGTTTATTTTGATGGCTGTTAGTTATTTATTAGTTTGAGGCGCGAACTCTGTTGGCCTGCTTGAATATTTGGGCTACCTGTTCCTGCCATCTAGATATTTCAACAAGTTATCCGTTTTTGTTTGTTTTAGAGGAATATAAATATATGTATTTTAGTTTTTTAACAGCTATACAATACGGATATATGCATAAAATTAATCCATAGATAATTTTCACCATTCACTTATTCTCGTCCGAATATAATAACAACATTATATCTATTAATCGCACAACCTATACAGTTACGTTTATGAAAAGTTTACTACCGTTCGCTGTACAAGCTACAAAATGTATAATCAGAGACATCATGACGGCTGGTAATATGCATTGAAAAGAATGGACATTATTCAGATGTCAACTTCTTAAGTGCTAACATCTAACTGGCGATCACTCAATATTTATCATTAGGATCGTTCAAGAAATAAGAAAGGAAAACTTGTAGAAATACTTTATTCTGAGAATTTTATATTCTATCAAAAATATAATATTGAATAAAGCTATTAATAATAATAATAATAATAATAATAATAATAATAATAATAATAATAATAATAATTTACATAACCATATTGTTAATTATCTATATAAATAAATAGATTTCTAACTATATTATCTACATTTAACTAAATATCAGTTATCATGCATAAATTTATATGATTCTGAGTTGTAAATAATTATTTTTCTATTCAGTAGTTATTTTATATTATTTAGTTAAATGTTCAGGTCTTTTTACAATCATTTTCAAAAAATTTATAAGGTACCGTTAGACACCAATAAAGAAGTCCATCAAATTAAGTTCTAGTAAAACCACACATACGTGGACATACACACGCATGAATGTATCATTTACAAATATTATATTAATCATTACTAGTAATATTGTTACTATTATTATTATGAGTGCCCTTATTATGTTACCTTTGTTCTTTATCGATTTTTGCGGAGAATGTTTTGTTTATTTTTTCTATCCCCCTGTTTAACTAACTACTTAAACATTTTACGCTTTCCAGGAAAGATGCATAACCACTCTATTGTTTGTTCTGTTTGTTTTATTTTTGAAAGAGTAGATAATTCTCTCGTTTCTTTTTTGTCCACATGACTTCGTTATTATTTTCTACACACTGTTTTATACTTTCTACTAACTGGTATTAAGTAGTTTTTTCCAGATATGATTATGTTTAAATATGATAAATTTTCTGACCGATGAGTTTGAACATACAATGATTAGATTTGTTATCATAGCTATTGAACTGAAACTATCTGTTTATTCACTGTATTACCAGTCGAATCAACATCGAAACTCATTTGTCAATTATCTTTTCAACTATGAAAATTACTACAATCTCCACAAATCCCCATTCTGATAGTTATCTTTTCGTCGGATCAATAATAAGAGAAATGACTTTAGTCATTGTTGTTTATCAGTATTGTTTCAAACTATTGGAGTTTATTTTGATTAAGTTCCCTTATAAACCTAGAACTTGATGTAAATTCTGTCTGCAACCTTACAAAATTGAGGTGTTCTCAGTGGTCAATATTCATTTTTCAGTTCATCAATTTCAATTTGTATACGATTAACATTCAATGCATGGTAAGGAGATAAACATGAATATTTTAATTTTATAGTTCACATCACGAATCCATTGTGACTAGACAGTTATTGAAAATTAACAAGCATCGAACAACTGTTTCGTTCCAGTACTATGCTCTTCAACATTGTGTTTCCACGACTCAATCAGAGTTCTCGTCATTCAAGGCTCACGATGAACCTTTCAATCTTCAGATAACTGAATTGACATCTAATGATTTATATATTTAAATTCGATTTCACTTTCAATATATTTTCCAGTTACATTATATGACTGAACTTATAATTCAGATATATATACTGTTGTAAAAGAATATTGTTCGGGTATACAATAGATTTTCTAAAGGGATTTAAATTATGACCGAGTAACGATTACTTGTAAGGATCAAATTGACATAATAAAACTATCCCTCTCTCTCAATGAAAGAATATCAGATAAATATCAGTAAAATGTACTTCCTTTTAGTAAAAATTATACATTTAGACACTAAATATTAGATTTTTAAAAAATAAACATAAACGAAAGTCATTAAATATTTAAGTTAGAACACTTTTTACTAAAACTTGACTATCAGGATTAATTCTAGTTTTTTTTTTCCTTTTTAAAATTATATTAATAATAATAAGCTTTATTATCATAATCATTTAAGCTGACAAAATAAAATAAACAGTTCACCCAACGATAGATAAGTTAATTTGATCATGTTTTTTTTTCATTTTCAAATAAAAATACAATAATAAGACGAAATTAATTGTGTTATGATAAAAGTGTTTTAGTGTAGATTGTAAAGTTTTAAGTAATCACAGATTTTAGTCAATTTTATCCATTTAAAACGTTTATGTAATTATTCTCCAATTATTTATATTTTCTTCAGTTACTCTTTTTTTCGAAGTGATGCTCATTATATCTAATAGAATTTTCTGTGTCATATATATTTTAGTAGTTGAATTCATGAGTTCATTGAAGCTAGACCACCATGGAAAACCTGGAAACACTGAACGGCCGTTTCGTCCCAGTATGGGACTCCTCAGCAGTGCTCATCCACGATCCCGTCTCGCGAGATTCAAACCCAAGACTTATCAGTCTCGCGCACGAACGCTTAACCTCTAGACCACTGAGCCGGTATCTGGCGGTGTTAATGTCTAACTTCAACCAATCTGAAAAGTTGCGCCACCGTCTACCATTTCCGTCAGTGGGTTACTATCTCACGACAGACCCATTTGAACTCCACTGATCACGGCTTCCCACTAAAACTTCAAGAAATACCTCTTGCAGACCGTCACTGGTGAGCATATGATGATTGTAATCAGAGAGGGGTTTTGTGGATATTATAGTAATTTAGTAGTTGAATTCATCAGTCAATTGAAGCTAGACCACTATAAGGTGGTGAATTGAACTGCTAAATTACTATAATATCCACAAAGCCCCTCTCTGATTATAATCATCATATGCTCACTAGTGACGGTCTCCAAAAGTGAATAAACTAACTATGTTTGTTTGTTTTTAAGTTTTCAAATTAGAAATAAGTTGATTTTGTCTAATAGTTAGTGACATATTCAAAAATTTATTTCTGATATTTGCTTGTTTCGACTTTATAGTACGATGAACGTGTTTCCTTCTTTATTAATTTAATCAATAATTACTTATTTTTTTATTATGTATTATTATCTATTAATTACTTTTTTTCAATAATAATATAACATTTTTTCCACCAGTATTTCTATTAATATTGTGTATATTTTACTAAAAAAAATAATAGATGGTTTCATCCGTCATTAACAAGATCAGAAGCTGAAGAACTAATACGGAATGAACCAGAAGGTAGTTTTCTTGTTCGTCCCAGTGAAACATGCCCTAATGACTTTTCTCTAACTATTAAGTAAGTTACTATTATTATTATTATTATTAAGTTATTTGAGACTCCTTATTATGAAGAGTGGGTTTACTGTTATTCAAGGTATAAATTAGTTTACTTGGCTTCAAGCCACGCCCTAAGTATAAGGTTTAGTGGTACCACCTGTTCTCCCAAGCCAAAGTAGATAGAGTGCCGTTCTAACCCAAGACTTGATGGCTGTGTATTGAATGCCTTAACCGCCGAGTAACTACTCTGCATATTGCGTAAAATATTGTGTTATTTCGTCTTCATCATGGACAGATAGCATTTCATAAATCAATTAGTACAAGACAGCACAGAATAGCTATTTTGTACTTGTGTATGAAACTTATCAGTAGTGCTCATTTATAATGTAGAAATAGAAAGCCGAATACGAACTACATTTAAGACGTTTATATTTCAGACATATTTATGTGACCACGGCAAAATGAACCGAGTGAATATGAAAGTTGAATAGATACAAACAGGAGTAACTGCATAACCTGCCTAGAGAATAATAGGTGATTTAGTTTTAATATAAGGTGTAAATAATGCATGAATTATAGATGCCGGACACACATAAGATGAGAACAATTAAAATATGTTCGATGTTAACAGTGAACAATCAACACAAGTACATAAATGAAAACAGAGAAGGAATAATATCTGCAAAAAAAGTATAGACGTTCACGAATATAGTACGATCAATAAATTCACAACGAAACATGCAAAGGTCAGAAAAAGTTCACACAATAATTTGTATCAGTCCGTCATATTATTTCCACATATAATCGTATGTTAATTAAGTTTTTATGCTTAACGTGATTAGGAAGCATGACAGAGCCAAGATAATTGAAAAACTTACAGTTTGTACTAATACCAATGGTATAAACACTGATTGATTTTCCTTTTTTATAATTATGTTTCACTTCAGACATAAATCCTTCTTACATATGAAAATTACACGAAATAGTACTGGTCAATTTATTCTAGGAGAATATAGTCAACCGTATGCAAGTGTTTCACAAATGATTTATCATTATGCACGAACACTTGTTCCAGTACTTGGTGCCTATTCAGTTACATTGACACATCCTGTATGTAAACGTATCTAATTATTTTCTTATTCTGTTGTTAATTCTGTTGTTCATCTCACTACTGATAAATCCTTATACAATGACACTGGCTACTCCGTCAGTTTTTCTTGCCTTGTGATTTTTTGTCTGCTGTTCCTATCACTACTACCGCTTTATTTGTTTAAGAGTTTAGTGCTATAAGTCTTTATTTTCAGTTGATTACTTCTCTTTTTTGTGTGCTGTGTTGTTCCTCCTTCTCTTTACAGATCCTCAGCTGATTATTGCGTTCTCTGTTTATTTTCTTATTATTCCATATCACATCAGCTTTCCATAGTAGTTAGCGCCTGCTGAATTGCGTTTATTTAATTTTCGCCCTTTATTTTCGTTATATATTTATTCTTCGTATAATATGCATCCGTGTGTCTGTGTGTAAAGTAATATATAAATGTATTTAGTGTACTTTTTCTCTTTATCTATGTACGACTTTTCTTCATCATCATCGTCTGCCTCTTCTACCCACTGTACTGGGAAGTTGTTCATCCAATCACGTTTACCTTTATCATTTCATTTTTGCAAACTATAACGTTGTCTTTCTGTAAACATTTCAAGGAAATGTCTCTATCGTTCTGTTTTGTATTTTGTTTTCTTTGGAGCTGACTCATTCCCTGGGAACAGTCATAATAAAGCTAGCAAATATTATCTTCCTATGTAATTCCATCGCCTACATACTCTTATTGTGACTACTACCTTAGTGCTATAATAACATTTTCAATTTTAACTTCTTTCCTTATCACTTACCTTTATTTTCTCTTTTTATTTAAACATGTCTACAAAATGTAATTTGTGTCCAATTCTAGTTTTTTTCTTATATCAATACATCTCATTTCTCTTCAACAGTATCAGCACCATTAACAATTACTACTACTATCAATGAGTAATAAGTAGCATGAATAGTTATTCGAAAAACGTCTCACATGTTTGCCATTTGATGTTATTCTTCAAAACTTCACACATATTTTCTTTCATCCCTTGAAAGATTACTAAGCTTTTTCTATAACTTATGTTTGGTAAAAAGCAAACTTCACCTTTATTAAATTTATACACCATTCTAGATGTTCTTGAGAGAGATGAACACGATTTACTTTTTTTAAATCATTGAACACAATCTGTTGTTCTACATTATTTGACAGTATTTATCATTGCTAAACAGGTTCAAAATTCATCACTGTTGCCATTTCTACGCGATTTATCTTCTATATTATATAGTATATATGATTATAACTGAAACTTATCACGTTTATTATTATTAATATCGACTATATCAGATTTTTTGTTATTTTAAATCTATAAATTGTGTTGAATAGTTTTGGATCATTTGATTTATTTTCCTTTTGTATAAAGTGGTTAGTGATAGGCAACAGTGTAGGATGCAACACACGTGTGCATCAATTCAAGTTGTCAGATTTCATCGCGTGGCATAATGAAACAGACAACTAACAAAATGGAAAGTCCAATAATAATAATAATAATAATAATAATAATAATAATAATAATAATAATACGTTATTATATGTGAAAATTATATTTGAAATAATCTCAGTGATCGAAATTCAAAATAATTCTAACGTTTCGTCCAGTAAACTTGTCGGAACTTCTTTAGGGTAATAATCAAAATCACCAAAGAATTATATAACGTCTTAACAATCAGGTCAGATCAAATCGACACTGTGTTAATCCAATCATATTTGGATGTTGATTTTAGTAAATAGGATAACATGAGTCTGTTAAATGCGAATCATGTGAAAAGTTCACAATTTGAAAATAGATCACTGAACGAATTGTATGTATATGTATGTGTAAGATCGATTTATTAATGAATGATATTCAGTGTTGAAAGTGCAAATCGAAGGTTGAAAAATCGTTTCTGAATCATTGATGTGCATGTAAAATGAGATTCATCAAATACATATTGTATTGCTAAAAATAACTCACATTAATTTCAGCCAAGATAACGATGTATGTGAAACAAACTGGTTGAATAAAGAAAAATTCCAATTACTTGTCAACGAATATTTGCGAAGTAGTCGCTAATTGAGTATCATCCTTTCGGTTCAGGCTGTTCTTGTTTGCCCATATATACAGCGCTTTTGTTGTCAATCTTTCTTTATGAGTGCTAAAACCTTTCTGAAGTATTTTGGTCCCTTCAAAATTAATATTGTGTCCTGTTTTCAACGCATGTAACGCCATCGCAGACATATCCTCAAGTTTCTTTAGGTCAACCGAGGATTTGGGGACATTTCTCCAACACTGTTTGTGTCCCTTTAACCTTACATTCAACTGTAAGGATGTTTCTCCCACATAAGCTGTATTACAATCATGACAGTTGATCTCATAGACAATATTTTGCTCTTTTTTTGGTAACCTATCCTTGACTTTAATGTCGATCTTATGGTGTTACACCCTATATATTTCTTTGATGATTTTGATTATTGCCCTGAAGAAGTCCAGACAAGTTAGCTGAACGAAACGTTGGAATTATTTAAATTTCAATCGGTGAGATTATTTCAAATATGATTTTCACAATATAATGACTTTTCTATACTCGGCGCCCAATTATTGTCAAACTATGCGTTCTAATCTTGACGAATATTCATATAAATAATACGTTATTGTTTTAAACTTAAACATTGGTATAAGGAGGCATCAAATAGACGTGCACCACATAAATCATTCGATTTATGTGAGGCCTGGGATACTGCTCGGGTTCCTAGACCGGAGCAGATGGTTTTTTAGGGGGCCACACCCCGAGCCTTTGACCTAAAGGTCTTATCCACAAAGCAGTGGAGCAACGTCAGGAGATGCAGTCCCACGGTAGCCAGTGACCAACTATTGTTTCATACGCCATTTTTTCCTTCAGGATACTGGATCTCATATGTACCATTGGTTTGTAATCAGGATTTCGCAACTCCCTTAGGTGGACTCTCTGTGTCCATCAACCCGGTTAAAGCGCCGAACATTCGCATTTCGTCCTCTCAATTTTGTAAACAACACCTGTGGTTCGAGAATGAAGTGAGTAGAACTTCCCTGACAGTGGTTGTATGCAAGAGGTCATATGAGAGCATTTCGAGCGGGAGAGCTGACTCTCCTCACTCTCGGCCATACCAGGGCATTTGGGGGCCGATACGTTAGTTAATTGAGAATCAGTGACAGCTTCTTTGTGATGTGTTTTACTCAAAAGTGTGTAAGTTGTAGTCAGACTGATCCGTGATTGTTTTGACTGTGGAACTTATAATTGAAGTTCAAGTCTCGACTTTGTTTCGTGTTACTTTATTTCACTTCATTTAACCTGCCGATGATCTGCTTAAACATTTTAGCCGCCTATCTTTCTATTTTTTAAATATTGGGATTGACCTTCATGTTTACGATTTATTTGAATTAAATAAGTATGAATGTTAACTGTAAGTGCTTACATATATTTTGTAACGCCTGGAAATCACTACTATTGTTAATATTGGGAAACAAAATTGTTACATCCGCGTTGCCATATTCTTTTACTTAGAAGAACGGGGAATCAGTGCAATTCCGACGATGCGAAGTAAGAACACCAAGACTGGTACAAGTGAAGATTTATTAAATCCAAAACATGACGACCCTAGTCGAAAATGCACTCAATGTGTACTGATTGTTCGTCCACTTTGATTATTAATTAGGATACAGTCATATATATATAAGAAATACCTAGCGTTGTAACGAATCACATGCTTCATGTCATGCTGCGCACAGTTCATGTTAATTTTACACAAGAATATCGTATCTTGAATGAACAACACATTGTTATAATGAATAAAATATCACACTGGGAAACAAAACAAAGATTAATTCTTTTTGTAAAATTTGTTCGAATTTTCCCACTGATGTTTGGGACAGCGATTGATCAGTTTCTTATTAACATATGTGCATCCTGTCTAGATTGCCTCGATGTTATCTTAAGTCACAAACATTATAAGCATAGATTGATGGTGGCTAGCATTGGAATCCAGGGCGTTCTCCCGAAATAGGATCAAACGCGCGTTCTGGATTCAACTGTTAGCCACCATCCATCTCTGATTATAAAAAATATAACTTTGAATGCTGAGCAAAAATCACAATGGGTAAAATAATGTGATTTTTTCTTTTCTTCCTGTCATATCACCTCTTCTTTTTTAATGGAATACATAAGAATAAACTTTCTGTGGTGAGTTCATTCGATCGGTTGTATGGTTGTGTCCCAGCTTCCAGTTGGTTTTAAAGCTTTCTTTGAAAAAAAAGACTTTAGCTTCTGACATCTATGCTCTAATCCTTCGTTCACTATGTGTATAACTCTCCCTCCCCTACGAAACAATGTTGAATCTTTAAGTACCCATGTTACAATTAATGTGAATTTATTGCTCTGAACTATCTCAACACTACTCACACCTTCATTATATGAGAGTATTGCGGCATGTACGCATAGATAACAGTTGAAGGGTTCTTTTATATGATCTTGATGTGTATAAGTAATATTATTCATGGCGATTTTTTCACTCTTCGTACCAAAAAATACGATGTCATCAGCTTCGTCGGGTGTTTGTAGATAACTATAACGAATACTGGAATTTGATAACTGCTCGTCATACAACTTTTCAAAAACACTGAGTGCTTTGTGTAAAGTGATCATATCTAAATTTTTTGACGCGATGAAATTGGCATGCTTTCTATCTTTATTTGACCTCAGCTTCCTGAGGTAAGCATGAACTTTTGAGTCAGTGTTTGGTTCAGTCGCATTCATCCTAAATAATTCTTCATTTTGTGGAGATTTTAGTAATTTCAGTAGTTGAAATCATGAATCAGTTAGATTGGTTAAAGTTAGACATTAACACTGTTGGATGCCGGCTCAGTGATCTAGTGGCTAAGCGCTCGCGCGCGAGACTGATAAGTCATGGGTTAGAATTTCGTAAGATGGGATCGTGGATGCGTACTGCTGAGGAGTCCCATACTGGGACGAAACGGCCGTTCAGTGTTTCCAGGTTTTTCATGGTGGTCTAGCTTCAATTAACTCATAAATTCAATTAGTAAATTAAAGGACAGATTTTTCTGTATTTTTTCTGAATAATATTTGAAGGTTTGCACAGGGTTTTTAAATGATAATCTAGTCTCCAAGGCGGTATTGTATATATGAATGATATCACCTGACATTTTTATGATGAAAATTTCAGAAAATGACTGTTAGATTTAAATATAAAGAATGCTGATATAAATTATTTTTAAATTTTCATAAATATTTTCATATATATATATATATATATATATATATATATATATATATATATATATATATATATATATATATATATATATATATATAGTAGCTAAAGGTTTAATTGCACTTTGAATTATGACTGGCGGGAAATTCCTGGGTGACTTTTGTCAATTTTATGACTTATCACCAACATACACCTCCATCTCAATGTTAGTGTTCACACTGGTATTTGAACCAAGTACTTATTACTTCAAATGTCATCGTATTTTATCCATTAAAACTATCTTATTTAGTAATCCACTAACTTGTTCAATGTGTATAACACTAAGTTTTCGTAAGGATTTATACTTTCCCATTGTTGATATGTATGTCAACTACGCAGCGAAATGAATATTACAAAATAAATATCATGTATTTATCATAATCTAAAGAACAATTCAAATTCATAATTAGGTTTTATCAAACTTATTGGTGAAACACTAATAAATTCAACATGTTATAATACCATACTAAACAAATAGATTATTCTAAACATATAATTGACTATCTTCGGTTACTTGGGAAAAATACTTTCTTTGAATTCAATAAAACATTTAATCTAGAATATCAGTCAACATATCGAATTTTGCTTGTTATACTAAATCGTTATTTCAGTTATATTTAAGTGATAATCAGTTTTCACGAAGATATCTTTCTAAATATTCACTTGAATACGAAAAGCGATTAAATTATTCAATATTTCCAATCATCAAAATAATCTGTTACTAATGAGAAATTAAATAGAATAATGTTGTTTGACTGATATGGTATTCCTATTGGTTTTGTATTCAGTGTCAAGAATTTTCAATGTTCAAATTATCAGTTGAGTAAATCAGAATTAAGGATTAAAATGCACTATATTTTCGCTCGATATTTAAAATGGACATGTGTAACGGAGTCGAAATTACTATGTATGGTGTTGCTAACTTGTTCTGTTTTCTTTCTATTTCAGGGCGATCAAACAGAAACGCTCTGCAAGCCGAGGAACAAGCCCTGAATGCCCTAAACCTACAAGATGACTCATAGACATTGGTACACTACCCCTCCCTATTCCTGTAAAGCCCCCGCGAATTTTAATTTTAAAAATAAAAGTGCCGTGTGTGGCGTTGAATTAACCTTGTGTGTTGTAATTTTAGATTCTCTTCGCTCTTTGGTGACTGCTGAAAACACGTGTTACACATGTAAAGTTGGTTATAAAGCGATATAGGTAGCCATATTTCCAAAGACCAAATAGAAGTATTTACGAGTCATGTTCTTATCCAGTTAAATAAACCATGTATTTATCATAGTTCATTAACATGTGCTTATTACTAGACTATACGACTCTCAAACAATGTACTATTTATCTCGGTTTTTTCAACGTAGCGGATACAACCTGATGAACTATAAAATTATTAGCCTGATATCAACACTTAACACCTTGTAAATTCAGGATAAAATTGGAATCAAATTCATTAAATCTATTTTGTTCTATATTAAAAACAATACAATTTCTAATAATTAATCAACTTTATGCTTACGACGTTGTAAGCGAAAAAAAACGAAAGCAATCATAAATCTATTCAAATAGCCTATCATTTTGTTTATGGGAATTGATATGATAAACTGCTTAAGACAACAAACATTATTTGCACAAGTTAATCAATGAAATGAAAAAGAAAACAAAAGAGTTCATCTATTTTTTTACTTCTTGACCCATTCTCAAGATCAAGTCATTAACCTACAATTTGTGTCTACATGTGTGTATGATTTTCTTTTATACCCTCAAAGTTAAAGCAGGATTATCTGGTTTGTTTTCTTAACGATGGAGTATTTGCTAAATATTTATCTTGATATTCTGTCAATTCATTTACTCTATATTCTTTATATTCATTGTTATAGTTTCTATAGTTATCTAGATTATGTGAAAATGGATTAAATCTTATTATAGGTATATGACGATGCAATGCATTGGAATTGAACCATGTTTCTTTACCTAAAACAAATAAGAGAATGTGGGCGAAAAATATATTTTACAAGTACATTTATTTACTGAATGAATTATCTCGAGATTTTTTTCAGCTAGTAACTAATATACCATCTGATCAACTGTCAATTAAAAAAAATCAATTCAAATACTCAGGTATAAAGTTATTCTCATTATCACTAACACCAACGGAACATGTACCATAACTTAGTATAAATCTCTTGATTTGTGGATAAATTTATAAAGATTTACTCCTCATTATAATTAATCGTTTATTTCTTCCATGCAACAGCTATAAACTTACATGTGAAGAGGAATATTTGTTACTTCATTCTGTCGTGCTTCTACGCATCTCTTTTAAACAAGAGCCAACTGGCTTCACAAATCAGTTTAGTTGAGTGAAGCACCCGACTGGCCAGTAACTTAAAATATGGATTTCTATATTAGCTACTTCAAAACGTTGTTTTAAAATATGATTTGACGGTGATTTTCATAATGAACTTATAAGGAGCTGAAAATCATTGAAAAATAGGTAGCACTAAAATAACGGTTTCTTCTATTTTATATGATTCATAAACAGTAGGTACCCAAGATCACATATAAGACAGAATTCAACACCTTCAATCTTTATAGTAGGTCTGATATTATTCAGTCACTCAGTCAGAGTTCGATAATTAAAATTTTCAGTCACTGTCAAATTTACGTCTTTCTAATATCATCTGAGAACAACGGCTTTATAGAGTTTCAATAAAATCATTTTGCCATTAACACTGATTTATCAACCAAATCTCTGACAAACCCGTCTTATCCGTAATAATATGGTGAATATAAAATCAATTATTTGTGTTAACATAGTTCATCGTTATCCCATAGCTAAAAGTCAGATTGGTTTTATTCAAAATAACCATCAAATATGATTGAAATATAGTTATGTCTATTACCTCATTTGGTTAATTATTATTGTAAAAGAGAAATAATAACAAGACTCCTCTTTTTTAAATAATAAGTGTTGGAGATATATTTCCGTATAAATAATGTGCATTACCAGACTATAGTTGTTTCACTGAGAAAAAGGCCAGCTCATTTGTTAGAATCAGTATCGACTTTGTCTCAACTTGATTGGATTATATTTTCAGTTTACTAGTTAAATGTTTATTTATTGTCACTTTTATAATTAGTAATTTATTTATTTACTTCTATCGATAGTAGTTGTTGTGAAAGAGAGCTATTTCATTGGGCTGTTTACCATCTGACAACCAGCTGGCGTATAATATAAACTTATCAGGTCTAAATTTTATTAGTTTACTCGTGAGTGCCTATATCGAATGCATCCGCAAAATGTTTCATTGATAAATGAATATTTTTTCAGGAATATCTACTTGGATATTTTTGTGCGTAATAACCAGGTGCAGCTCTACCAAATGCCATTTTAATTGGTCCTGGAATATTTGTTGGCGGACGATGTTCTATTTCAATTCCAAGTAAAGCATTGAGAGATATATTTCGACTATCGTACTTTTCTACTTTTTCACCTGAATAGATATTCAAGAAAAATTTATAATTACAAGAATGTGACATAAAAAGATGTCCTAAGTAAAGTGGACACATGGTGTTTCCTCAAAAGTCAATTAGTAAGAAATACGTATATGAATAAATTCTAACACATTAACTTCTATCAACTAATCCCATTTATTCAATTAATTAAATAGGTTTAATCATAAATATATAACATTTTGATTACAATGTATACTTAAATACTTATTTTCATGTAAATGTCTTCTGACCAACGGAAAGTGTTCCTACAGAAAATTAAACAAAAATAGCTTAATTTCGAAAACAATTAATTCGGTAATAACAGTTTTTTTTACTTATATTTGTTGCATTATTCTAAACTCGTTACTGGCTTAAATCGATGGTGTTGAAACATTTTTCAAAAACCTACTTGGCTTAATTAATGCCAACAAATATGAATTGACGACAGTTTACTTATAAATGTTATTTTTAAAGTCAGTTTCCCTCTTTGAAACATTTGAGCGTTTCTCCTAATCATAGTATCTAGATGAGATCTTACATCGCTTATCCCTAGAACAAGCCATCAACATTCATGAAAGGTTGGGACGGTTTAAAATTATATAAACATAATACGTAAATTGATTCTAAAAAACCCTTCTTAACAGTTGTTTATTTAGTGGATTTGAATATTTCAAAACGAAGGTAATGATATGAACTAAAGTTTGAGAGTTTTGTTGGAACGAATGGATTTAATAAGTCTTTTTCATTGAGTTATAGAATCCAATCTGTGCAGCATCATTGATGAACACAGTGGATCTGATGAAGATGTGAAGAAGCGGATTGCAAAGCAAGAGCAGCATATTTACAACTGAAGAACATCTGGAACTCAAAACAATTGGTGAACAACACCAAAGTCAGAATTTTTATTACAAATGTCAAGACAATTTTAGAGTATAGGGCGGAAACCTGGAGAACTACGAAAGCCATCATCCAGAAGATACAAGTGTTCATTAACAGCTGTCTACGCAAAATACTTCAGATCTGTTGGTCAAACACTATCAGCAACAACCTGCTATGGGAGAGAACAAACCAGATCCCAGCGGAGGTCGAAACCAGGAAGAAGCGCAGAAAGTAGATACTGCTCAAATTGAGGAAAGCACCCAACTGCGTCACAAGGCAAGTCATCACTTGGAATCCTCAAACCCAACGGAGTAGAGGAAGACCAAAGAACACATTACATTGAGAAATGGAGACAGACGTGAGAAAAATGAACAAGAATTGGATAGAACTGGAAAGAAAGTCCCAGGACAGAGTGGATTGGAAAACGCTGGTCGGCGACCTATGCTCCATTGGGAGTAACAGGCGTAAATAAGTAAGTACAGAATCCTGTAAAGCATAAAAAAGTTGATTAAAATAATGTAAATGAAATTGAAAGATCTAGTTGGAAGTTTGCTAATGAGAAATTATTGAGAGTTCAGTTGAAATTACTAGGCTTTTTGTTATATTTCTATTGATAACAAACTATAGCTTGATGTTATCGATTACTTATTATGACCTAATATATGTAGTTTAATAGCTTAGGAATTTATTTTTTTGTGTATGCACCAAAATTATACTACATTGTGATGTTAAAATTAGTTATTACTCTTCAAAACATTTATATGTCTGGTATTTTTTTTAAACATTTACGAAGGTTGAATTAGTTTTATCTTAACAATATTAACATTTTGAATTTATACTTCTAATCTTCATAAACTCATTGCTAAAACAGTTCCAAAATAATATGTTATATATTGAGACCGTGGATTTGAGGACAGCGAGGGCAGAGAATTATCGATCGGACCAAAGACGCGTAAAACACGTAAGAACAGCCTAGAGTTCTGATTGGCTCTGCTTCCCTGTCAAGCCCAGCCAGTTGAGTCCAGAACGCAAGTCTCAGCCTCTGTGATGTGAATCCTTATATTTCAAACATACTCTGTCTATACAGCAATAAAACAGACCATAACGTACTATAAAATAGAAAATAACATTTGTGCAAGATTTGACCAACAAAAAAATGACACATTGAATAAATATTGACCATTGGGAAAATAACACGTTGGATAAATATTGATCAATAGGAAAATGACGTCATTTCACGTTCAGGGATAGCATTCGACTTAACAGGATAATTTTTGGGATATTTTTCTGAATATCCCGACATAATATCAGTTGATAAATGTTCACTACTATTCTCAACATTCCATGGTGATGAAGGGATTTATTTATTTATTTGTATAAAAACACAAATATTGGTTCAGGGAGGCACCAAATAGACGTGCACCACATAAATCATTCGATTTATGTGAGGCCTGGGATACTGCTCGGGTTCCCAGACCGAAGCAGGTGGTTTTTTGGGGGACCACACCCCGAGCCTTTGACCTAAAGGTCTTATCCACAAAGCAGTGGAGCAACGTCAGGAGATGCAGTCCCACGGTAGCCAGTGACCAACTATTGTTTCATACGCCATTTTTTCCTTCAGGATACTGGATCTCATATGTACCATTGGTTTGTAATCAGGATTTCGCAACTCCCTTAGGTGGACTCTCTGTGTCCATCAACCCGGTTAAAGCGCCGAACATTCGCATTTCGTCCTCTCAATTTTGTAAACAACACCTGTGGTTCGAGAATGAAGTGAGTAGAACTTCCCTGACAGTGGTTGTATGCAAGAGGTCATATGAGAGCATTTCGAGCGGGAGAGCTGACTCTCCTCACTCTCGGCCATACCAGGGCATTTAGGGGCGTTTACATTTAAACAGATCTATTTTGTTTATATGGTTATGGTATCATTTATTTCAGTATAATTTGCGGTTTATTTCATAAGAAGTTATATCTTAGTGAATAAATGATTAGCTACAAATTCTTTCGAAAATAAGTTTTAATAATTGCTTACCAGTGATATACCGTGGCCAAGGAAAGAATGCTCCTGGACGTGAAATGTTATAATTTGAAACAGGTTAACTCAAAAAAATTTCACCAACAGTTTGTGAATCACTTGAATTTTCATTTAAGTTATATTTTTCCATACTATTAATAAAAATTTCTCTTGACAAGTACTTATGATAATGTGAAACTTTTTCATGAAGAGCTAGTGTACCACATTCCTAAAATAAAAATTCCATCAACTAACAATTTATTTATATTATTTATATATAAGAAATACTGCAAATAATAATTTTGTGATCATTAATTTTAAAATGCATTGTAAGAATCCTTTGGAATAAGTTCATCTTCAAAGCTCTTCAAAGTTTCCCAAAAACTTTGGGGATTCCTCCCAGATCTTGAGGAAGTCTATGGATTTTGTGCCGTTTTCTTAAAATATCTTTAAGGTGTTCCATGCCGCTTTCCTCTAAATTTCCCTAATACAAATAAAACATCGCCGAAATAGAGAGATTGGGTGAAATAAGGGGACTAGGCAGTAATGTCACCTGACTTCTGTGTAGTCATAATCTTTATGACTGTTACATCTCACTGCCTGCTTTTCGTAAGCCTGAGTTGACCATAGTTCACCATACTGACATGTTTATTAATATAAAGAGGAACCTCTTCATGATAAACAAACCAGTTATAAGACGTCCTTCTTTCAACACGTTTATGGTGGGTGTTAGTGGGTAGCGTTTGTATCTTGTATGTGAATATCAATGAAGTTGTTGTGATTTACCCTACCAAAAATTGGTTTCTTCAGCTCATATTTTGAAAATCCTCTGCCTCCGTAACCATAACTACGAGATGCGTTGAATCATGAAAAGTACTTAAGCACGTTTACATTAGCAGATATGGTAATATTACAGCCCCAAGTGTAAGGTTAGTTATTTGATCATCTGGTTGTGATATCGGATGTCAGTGGGCTTTCGACAAATAACTTAAGCCATACACCATGTGGTGTTAGACAGTTTTTTAGATATATATCCAGATTTGTGTGAAGGCTAAATGCTTTATTAGCTCTTTGTGAGTAAGCTTCCGTGAGTATCTTGTGTCTTTTCAAGTAATGCAATCGAAGGTGCAGTCACCAATTCTTCCACTTGTTGGTTCTAAGAGTTGATTACCTGGTGGGAAGTCTTATTCGTCTTTGGCCCTTGACTTCGCTTGCCTTGTCCTTTGAACTGTCCCGACTTACTTGAAGAAAAATCCAGGGACTTTAGGGCCGTAGTCGTTTCCTAGTCTGAATTAGACCACTTACTACTACGAAATAAATTATGCTTTCTATAACTAGTCAGTGATCAATTATTTGAAAGGACTCCCAGATTTTTGTTGCGTCTACAATACGAAAAATATATTCATCAATCGATCCATGAAACCCATTCATGTTGTTGGGTAAACTTGATGTGTCTATTGGTTGGCAGTTGATACTTTTTATCTGAAGTCCGTGACTTTGATGGAACCTTATATAGATAATCGAATGAGTTCGTTCTTTTCAAATTTATTACAGTTGTGATACTTATTCGACTGCAGTCACCACCACTCTTCCAATATCTTCCTGGCCAATCCAACTACTTATTGAGTCTTAGTATGTTTCACCTTTACAAAAATCACCGGAAGCTTTTTTATTCTAATTCTTTGAATTACTTTAAGAGACTTCAATTAATGTACACATTAAGTACGATACCCAATGTCTCCTTCATGCTTTGGCTGATTTATATATGAACACTGTAAATGTGGTGGCCTTGATCTAAAATATTTTCACTCACGATATCCAACATATTTTGACCTGTGCATTATTGTTATTATTCACAAACATCTTATGGATACATAATTGTCGTGAAGAAACCATCTCAAGTTTCATCAAAAATGCAATAATATACAATTTTAAATAATGTTGGCATTGTATTTGCCATATTTTAAAAAAGAGGGTAGTAATAATAGAATGATAATAATAATAAATCAGGTTATGTGTAATCGAGAAGAATGTTGAATTGAGTTTGAAGGAAAGGAAGAAAACAAGGGAATAGAAATAAAGGAGACGTGAGATATGCAAATAGTTTAATAGGCGTGTTTATAAACACAGGACAAGAATAAACGACTATGTATGTATCGTCAAATTAGCAACAAAAATAGAGTAA